AAAGGAAGCACTACAGAGAGAAAAAGAAGCAAACAAGGAGTGGAACATTGGCTGGCAGCATCTGCTGTGTGGGTAGGACTTGATGGCAAAGGAAGAAGCAGCAGCAGAGGTAGGATGGGGGACCCAGTTCCTAGATTTTGATTGACTCTTTGGGTTTTGAACATATAACTCTTTGTGAAGGAGGAGGCTGAGATCTTGCCATTCTTGAAAACTGTTTGATGCTTTGTTGAAAGGTGGAAGCTGAACAAAGTAACAGTTGAGGGAAAAGCTGCAGAGCACAGTAGAGCAAGCTTAAAGAGGGCCCAGAGCTTTGAGTCTTTGCTGCCAAGGGCTCTATTCTTCAGTTCAAAAGGTATTTTCCTTCTTATAATAAATGTCACAAGTGTAGCCAGGTGTGTACTAACCTGCGTATTTCCATCCAGTCACACTAAGCCCAGGACACAGGGTAAGTCAGGAGATTTTGAGCTTTGTTACTAGATAAGACAACAAGGTGACTTGCTTAAACTCAGGCAGTTGTGTAGGAGCTGATGACCACCCTGGCCCCATGGAGTTAATGATGAAATTATTGAAAATGGTGACTTTTTCCTCTGTTCTGGAAGAAAATGAAAATTCACTCAACAAAATGTGCATCTGGTTCAAAGCATTCTTTGGCATTAGTGTTTCTGGCAGAAAGTTGTCATTGGTCTTGCCATTGAGTGACCATTTTGCAGAGAGTTGTGTGAGAGATCAGCAGGGGGAAGAGAAAGCCTGTGAAAGCTACATGGTGTTGAGATGCTGGCCTGGCCTTCCTTAGACATTGGATAGTTCTTCCCTGTGAAGGTGCTGAGGGCCTGGCACAGGGTGCGCAGAGAAGCTGTGGCTGCCCCATCCCTGGCAGTGCTCAAGGCCAGGTTGGACACAGGGGATTGCAGCAACCTGCTCCCCATCTTTTTCGTTTCACAGCACACCATGCACAGGGAAATGTGTGGTTTACCTGTAAACCATTGATTTCAGTGGCCTCTTCCCAGCCCCGTGCTATAAATCCTCTCAGAGAGCCCGTTTACTACGGCAGGTTTCCATGGCAACCTTGCAGGCAGGGTGCAGGCAGCCTCCCTCCTTCAGATTCACCTCTTGACAGGGAAGCCCCCAGTGGGCCATGCATAGCTATTCCTATCCTGAAGCACTTTCTCCCAGTAAGTGGATGTGTTTTAGCACATCAAGAGAACACTTGCCCTTTTCCAGACTTCATTTGGCATGCAACATGACAGTCAGATGTTCTGGAGGTCTAGTTCTTTCCTGACACACATTTCTGTTGTTATTTTAGGATATCAATAGGAAAATACAAGCTTAATATTTCCTTGTGGTTCTGGGTGTAATCACTGCAAAGGAAGTGTATCTCCTACTGCAGCAAATCCCTCCCTAGGCTTGGGGCAGCCTCCCACCTGCATGTGAGCTGTTCTCTGAGCAGCCCTCAGCACAGCTCAGTGGCTGAGGGGATGACACAGAGCATGAGAGATGCATCTGCTTGTTCTAAACATGGGAAGAGCAGGAGCTGCTGGGATTAAAAATCAATACAAGAAATAAGATCAGGGGTAGCAGCAGAAACTGCAGCCAGAGTCTGACTCCTCCCTCTGCATCTCTGTTTTATGTTAATGCTCTCTTACAACATTACCCAGGGATGAAGAAATTTGTGTCTTATCTCAGGAGCTGTGGCAAGGCACAAGGGGGGGCAACACGTTTAGGTCAGTCTTATTATGCTGCTGATTTGAGAGATAAGAGCCCTTAAGAATTACTTCAATGTGTTGTGGTCAACCTGATGCTCTTCACAGGTTCAAATCAAAACCCCATTTATTAAATGTCTTTATCTTTGTCTCTTGCTCTGTCACAGATCCCAGAGGTGCAGGATTGGGCGCTGGGCTCTCTGGCTTCAGAGCAGTTCACTGTTTTTTATCAGCTGCCTCTTCCCACCATATGCTTACTACAAAATTCCTGTCACATCCTGCTTGCAGTTGAAGTCTAGATTTGTGCTTTGATTGTTTGCTAACCGAGAATTGCTGTGAGAGGGGGTTTACAATGTGAATTGCTTAGTCAGACACTGTGAAAAACCCCAACAAACAAGCACCATTTCCCTTCCTTTTAGCTGGATGAATTTCCCCAAAGCGAGGGAACTCGCAGCACCCTCACAAAGCAAAGCACCAGAGCAAACCAGCCAGAGAAAGGAAGGAGTGTGTCTGCCAGAGCTGCGAGTTATTGCCTATGAGATCCTTGGGGTACATGTGGTGGGTGGGAAAACCCAGCTGTGTCCTACACAGCTGCTTCCCAACACAGCCTGAGGAGGAATTTCTGGGTTTGGTTCATGTGCAGACGCACCCCCTGAATCCTGCTGGGCCCTGGGGGTTATTGGTTTAAATAAATAACCCCACCAGTGACAGTGCACAACAGCGGACGCTGAAGCCTCTGGGAGATGAGTCTGTCGCCTGGACAATGTCAAACCAAACTCCAAATGGCCTTGCACAGGGTTGAGTAGTCACCAAACCCACTTGCCTTTGCTTTGCCATCATGCTGGAGCTTGCTGAGTGCCACAGTGAGACAGGGCTGTGCACTTCTGCTCCCACTTCATCCTTGGGCACATAAAGACAGCAGAAATTGGTGGCTGGGAAAAAGCAGAGACTCCTATCTGGACCATATGCATCCTGTGGGACAGTCCCATTGGATCGGTTAGCAGCATTGCTCTTGGCAGATTCTTGGCTGCAAGAAATTCTGTAATATCCTTTCCAGAGAAAGGATAAAATGGGTTTGTAAAGCCCCCGCTGGGTATGCGATAGCCTGTAGTCTGGTTTGCTAAAAGGAGTAGGAGTAGTTTTGAGTACCTCTGTAGGAAAATCAGAGTGTGAGGGCTGATGCATCATAAGTGCCATATGAGTGAAAACACAGGGCTAATTCTGTCTCAGCTCCCTGTGACAGGAGCTGTGGAGTCGGCAGGCCAGAAGTGTACGTGACTGGCTCATTCTGCTCATATACATCTGAATGGATTTGCTCCTGTCTGCCTTGGCTTCACACGCTGCAGAAGTGGGATTTAGTCCAGTGATAGGTTTCTCTTCATCTCTGGGCAGATTTGTGGGCTGACACTCCAAGATGTGCAGCCTAACACGCTGGCAATCTGTCACTCTCCTGGCTCCTGTCGGCTCCAACAGCTTGCTGGGAAAACACGCTGCCAAAAGAGATGCCAGTGTGATCTGAGGGACTGGGGAAGCTCTGCCTGTCAGCACGTGCATCCCTGCTCCACTTGGCTCCTTTGTCAATCCATCCAGCCCTGGGCTTTCCTGGTGACTGTCACAGCTTCCCATCTTCCCAGATCTTCACTGGAAGTTGCCTTCCCACTGCTGAGCTCTCACATTACTGCTCTCTCCTCTCTCTAGTGGGCCAGTTCACTTGGCACTGTGGCTGCCTGTGAAGCCCGAGGCTGTATTTAGGGCTCTTATCACTTGCACACCCTGAATAGCTGTGGCTCCCCTCTTGGACAAGCTCTGCATTCCTGGCACTGAAACCTCTAATCAGGCCAAAATGATGGCTTGGAACAGCTTGAAACGGGAACTTTGTGACTCCAGTCTGGAGCTCAGGAATTCCTTGTTTGGTTGGGCTTGAAAAGCTGAACTGCTGGGGATATCTGACCTTTATTAGATTAGTCTGAGTCTGCTGCTTCGAGAGAGCTTCTCTGGAGACCACAGGGATCCATGTGCATGAGAGGATGTGGTGTCAGTGTCTTGCCTCACTAGCAGTACTTTCCAGTTATAATGAACACTTACAATCCTGACATTGCTGCTTAAAGCAAATCTGAAGGATTATAAAGCATGAACAAACGATTGAGGACATAAACCAGAAAAAAAGAGCCCAATTCAATATAAACCAAAATGCTGCTGAAACATCAGTCTCTGCTCTGCAATGCAGTGGGACCTGGAGGATACAGGGCCTCTTCTTGGGGTACTTGCTGGAGCCCAACCCACAGCAGTATGAAGAATGAGAACGAAGACGAGAGCGAATCACTGCCCTAGCAGGAGTTTTGCTGCTGCTGCCCATTCCAGGCTCGGATCAAAGTGGCAATGGCCGCTCTGGTTTGTCCCGGCAGAACCCGCTGGCCGGAGCCTCCCTGGGTTTCCTCTCCTGTCTGCGAGCTGAGCTTGCCCTCTGCTGTTTCCCGAGTGAACTGCTCCCTCTGGTGAAAAACTGGGAGCTAAGAGCAGCGAGACCTGAAGAACCGGGGGGGTTACCCCCAGCTTTCAAAGACTGAAACGTCAAAATCGTGACACTTTAAAACCTGACACCACAAAGGGGGAAAAGCCTCATCCGAGACTTCAGCGCACGCTTACTTTATGTTCTCAAGCTTTTCTCTTTCATCACAAAGCCAGGAACCCCTTTTCATTTCCCCCTAAATAAAAGCCAGTATTCAGACCTAAGCCCATGCTCTCTGGAGACCAGGCATCCAGGTGTGACTGAGTGCTGCTGAGAGCAGGACCAAAGGCAGGAGGAGCCCACACTGGGAGGTGTGAGGAGAGGTGCCTTGGGACAAGAGGTGCTCTGCAGCGAGGACTCGGGCAGGTCTGGTGTCTCTCCTGCTCTGCACCGTACCCTCTCTCCATCCCAGAACCTCAGAGCTGCTTCCACCCAGGCCCCAGGCTGGTCACGCTGCTCCTCTGCTGCCCTCTCCTCTCCTTTGCAGCCAGCCAGCCCTAACAGCAGCCATGTCCAGGATGCCAGACACCCTGGAGAGGACTCAAGGGCTTGTCAAGAGAGCTGCTGGCACCTTGCTGCATGTTTGCAAGCTGAGCTGGGTGCTCAGGCTCCTCTTGTTGCTGTTTGTTTTCTCCTCTGCTCACAACAGCCTCTCCCTGACCTGTTGTTGCTCTTGCTCTGCACAGAGGGGCTCAAACAAAGGTGTGGTGATGGTTGATGTTCTCCTGGGCTTGTGGGACTCCTCTGGACATCATCCTGCTCCTCCCAGCACTTATGGGCAGGGACTTGTCTTGTATGAACTTTTGTGTTTCCAGCTGGTACCAGGGAGCTGGTGCCTGTGGATGGTTCAGTCCAGGGAAGGAGCAGTAAATGGGATGTTCAGTGCTCAGATCTTGCTCACACCTCCCTTTGGAAGCGACTCCTGAAATTAGCCAGCATAGAAAGACTGTAGCCCTCCCACAGATCGTCTCTGAAGTGCTTCTCTATGTGACTTTGCACAGCTCTTAAGTGAAGACTTTGTTCAACGCATGGATGACACTTCAAAAGGTAAGTGTTAACCGGGCAGTAACAGGGTGACATGGGATGGAGCTGACTTTTTGACTCTCTGATCAGTCAGACATTGCCTCAAGGGAGTGCATTAGACTCCCGAGCTCCCAAGGCAGCTCCTCAAGTGCATTGACCCAGAGCAGGACATTTACCAATGGGTCAAATCCCTGTCTCTCCCCAAGCTCCATCACAAGGCTGAGAAGTAACAACAGGTCACATTCACAAACACCACAGACGTGAACGGTGAAGGGGCTTTATGGGCAGTCAGCAATGGTAGATGAGAAAAGGTATATATTTATAGGCATAAAATGCCCTCAGCTGTTCTCCAAAGGCAACAATGACCAGTCTTTTTGCATGGCTATTTCAAACATGGGTATCAAGGAAGCAGACCTCTAGCACAGCTGAAAGATGGGGCACTGGTTTGCATCTGAGGAATCAGTTCCTCCAGCTGGTACATGGGCAATGAGCTGCCATTTTCCTCTGTGTGGTCATAGCAGATTTGGGTAACTTGATTTTAAACTGAGGATTTATCACTATTGAAAGAATTTAGCACTTGGTTTAATCTGGATTTTTCAGACACAATGGAACAACTCTTTTGAAGTCTGGAGAGTGCTGGATGGTTTTGTAACAGTGTTTGTGGCTCTTACAGCAACACCAAAACTCCCCATTTCACACTGCTTTCTACAGAAACTTGCTCTGTGAATCTTCCCCAGCCTGAAGTTATCAAGATTCAGTTACTACTCATTGTATGTAATAAGTTCCCATCAAGACCTTCTCTGTATCTGATGTGTTCCTTTGGTTTTTCTGTAAGAGACACAAAGATTTTTACTCTCAGACATTATCCTGTGTGGGTGGTTTTAAGGTAACTACTACCAAATAGGACTAGCCAGCTAATAGCAGTGAGGAGTTTGCTGAATAAGCACTAACATAGCTCCAAGAGCATCAGCTCTGCCAGAACCAAGCACACATTGGAAACAAGCTGTATATAAAAGCAGTGCAGAGAGTTTTCAGGAGCAGTTCTGCATTTCAGCCACCAGCTCTATAATCAGTTCTGGCTTGGGCATGAGGGGAAATTGCCTATAGCAAAGATATGTGAGAACTGATGCTAAAACATGTCTTTGGTCTCTTGCTTCTGCAGATGTGGCCTTGGCTTGGAAGAGTCTCCAGGAAGCCAAAGCAGTGGTATGTGTGTTTTGAGGAACACTTGCTGTCACCTTTATCACTCTCTGTTACCTGCCTGTGCATCATCTCCACAGAGTTTTCTTTCATGGATGTAAACTTGCCATTCAGTTTGTTCTTTTGCAAGGAACATACAACCTCTTTACTCATATACTAAGTGACAGAAAAAGGGTAAGGGGAAGAGCAAAAAGTCTTACCCAATTTCATAACACTCTTCCATGTTATTGACAAAGACAGGTCGAGGTTTGCCTTGCTTGTGGTTGAAGCCCTGAGCAGAGCAATAGCTGACACTCACTGAGCTGAGACATCCTCTGAACTCTCCTGTCCTACTGGCCTCTTAGTAGGAAACATAATAATGTTTCTGTCAGCCCCAGCAGCTGCAGTCCTGACAGAGGACTTGCTTGGATGAATGCACAATGGTACCCAGCTGCATGACACTGGTATCGTGCTGCTGGAGTTGCTGTCGGCTGGGGTTACTTCCAGTTTAATGCTGGGTTTAACATCAGAGCAGTTCTGGTACAAATCTGAGGCACACATACCTGCAGAGTGTACATAATGGAGAGAGATTATTTCACCTCTCACCTTCGCAGTGAATTGCGCTCTTTCCAACGGTAGGAAATCCCACATGGAACATGCTCAGACATGCCAGTATTTACAGAGTCACTAGGAGCTGCAAAATTAATCAGAGCAGTAGCGTGTGCCAGCAAAGGGACCACAGAAATAAAACATATGTCTCCCTTCAAAAGAAAAATCTGTCTTTTCACAGCTACAAAAGATTGAAAACAAATTCTATCATCAGACATGGAGATGTGCCAAATCCCAGGCAGCCAGGAGAAAGCTTTGGCATGGAGAAAGCTTTGGTGAGTCCTGAGTTACTGGAAAACTGCTGGGACAGGGGGACTGCTTTGGTGCCAGAGGGAAGGGAAGGTGACAAGAGATAGTGAAAGCCCCTCTTTACTGAGGGAAGAGCATATTTTCATCAGCTTCCTAATATTCCCAGAGGAAGATCACAGTGCATGAGGGGTCCCTTGCTGGAAAGAGCTCAAGCAAAGATGCAGCATTATTACCCACCAGCTACAGCAGAGCAAAAGCTACTTATGCTTGTCCTTAGGGTTTTTTTCTTAGAGTTAACTGAAGTGATGTAAATACAGCAGGCTTAGTTCACTGTCACAGGAAATACAAAATGTGTTTAAATTCATCTCTAAGAGACAAAGTGGGATAAGAAAAAAGCAGGAAATTTAACCAGATTCCAGAAGACTCTTTAATGACAAGAATAGGTTTCACTTGTTATTTTTGCATGTGTTGGGTATTTATTTGTGAGCTGGTTATTGAGTGGGAACAGTTTAAACTGCCAGGCTTTGATATGTATGGATGCTCTTCCCTCCAGAGCAACAGAGCTTTGTACCATGCTCCTGGTACACTCACATGGCTCACTGCCTGGGCCCTGCTCTGGGTAACAAGGAGAGCAAGAGAAGTGTGTCGAGTACATCTGCCAGAAGCTTTGCTGGAGCCTGTGGTTTCACATGGGAATCTCTTTTCTTGCTCCCAAGCCATTTGAATCAGGAAAGGAAAGAGGAGTTGGATGCTTGCCACTGGGTTTAAGTGACAAGGGCACAATGTGACCTGGTGGGACACACTTTAACACCCAGGGTACCCAAACAGCTGGGACACAGGATGCTAAAGGTAGCATGGGTTTCTGTGCAAGGTACTAACCAATAGCTCCGTGCTAGTAATCAAACACTGGGTCTGACCTGCAGGACTGGGTGACATAGAGGCAGTGTGCACAGGGATTTCTACACCAGAGACTGAACTCTCACTCTTCTCTCCCAGAACTGCAGTGCTGGCAGGCTCTTTACCAAGTAGGAATGAAATCGTACCCAAGTTTCCAAAGGGCCATTTGGTTGGGGATAGTCCCCAGTGGAAACAACCATTTTAATTTAATGGTTAAGGAATATTTTGGACATTTACATAATTTTGCTATGCTGCAGATGGCGAGAGGAACAAAGATGAAACAGCTTTGAATGAGAAAAGCAATGAGATTCCTCCAGCCTACAGGTAAATAATCACCTCAGTGTTCAGCACTTAGGGGATGAAGAGGTGAAGGCACCTAAAGGGATTTCCTGAAGTCCTGCATCCCAGAATTTCAAAAGTTTAGCACCTTCCTATTTATTAGAAGAAAGGAAAAGTCTCCAGTGTCCCCTTGGCAATGCTGGCCAACGAGCCAGAGGATCAAGCCCATTGACACCAATCCTCTGGGTTAATCTATCTGCCAGTGCCTGCAATAACTTATCAAACCACGGTTTGCTTTGTGCTTTCCCAGTGTTAGCTGTTTGCCAAACTGCTGGCAACTGCTGAAGTGCTGATCCCGTGAAGACACTGAGATCACCATCACAATATGCTGTAGAAGCTCAGCTGCCATTCATATCAGCAGCATATTGATCAATTTAATAATACACCCTACCTATTCAGTCTTGGTTTTCTCTTTTCTTAAGAAAGGGAAGCTGTGTTGCTCTCTGCCCTGCTCGGTCACAGATCTGTTTCCTTGAGAGCCCTTCTGTGAGCTCTGGCCCATCCAGAATGACCCCCAGGGAGGACTCAAGCTCAGCACCTTGCAGCTCTGCTGGGGAGGATATGGATGCTGAAGGCACAGCTGGGACATGGTCTTCTGCAAAGAGCTTGTTCAGACCAAGAAGGGACCATTTCAGGGAGCAGACAGATTCAGGAGGTCACACAGTACAAAAGAAAACATCTCCCTGCTCTCTGTGTCACCCACCTCAGTGCCCTGCAAGGAGCAGTCCATGCTCAGCTGTCCAGTGTGGCAGCAGGAACAATGTCCTGCTTCCTGCATGCCACCTTCCATCAGGCAGCAAGCCCAGTGCTGAGAAGCCAGAAAACTTGTGGAAAAAATCACCCCAGAACAAGTTAGAGCAACTCAAGAAGAGGATCCAGGAGCAGAAGCAAAAGCAGGAAGCAGCATTGCAGGAGAAGTGCCTGGTTTCTGCCTATGCTGAAGAGCCACTGCGAAAAAGAGGCCTGAAGAGAAAGGTGTGCCAAGTGATGTCTGCTCCTCCTGCTCCAGCTCACAGAGGTCAGTAGCAGTGTGGCACCTATGGAGAAAGGCTGAAGCTGTGTATTACCCTGTAGTGCTTTGGCACAGCTGAATAACTGACCCCACAGCTCCCACCCCACGCTTTGGTGTATGCTGGGCAGCAACATGTTCACATGATAAATTCATTTACTCTTGGCAGCCCCTGGGGGAGCTGTGAACCACTTTGCTCTATAGCTATGAACTTGATTCCTGGATGTGCTCCTCCACTGGATTTACTCCCCCGAATACACAAATGTATACATCTCTTTCCACAAAATAGGAAAAAAATTAGTTGCAAATATATATTCTATATCAAGCATGAAATACCAAAGGCAGCACAGTAGTGTGGAGAGGCATCACAGGTATTTAAAGCAGGAATTGTGTAGTTCAGAGGCATTAGAGTGGATTTAACAGTTCATTCAGTGGAAATTGTGTGGCTCTGAAAACAAATATTATTAGACTTCCTCATCCTGCTTTGCTGCTAAGTTTGGGCCTGAGGGAGCATCCATCTACAGCTGTCACTTCAGTTTAGAGTGATTTAAGGTCTGAGATTGCTGGGAGTAACATGCAGACTCGATAGCAAGGGCTGTCCTGTCAGCAGGGGATTACTGCTGGTGTATTAGACTAGAGAGGACGAGCTGCAAAGCCGTGCATAACAAATCTTGTTGCTGTAATAGCATTAGTGTTAATTCATTGGGCATTATGATCCCTGTCACACAGCACCACCTTCCACAGGCATTTCCCTTAGATTTGCTCCAAGTTACAGTGGTGTCTGAAGGTATTTGGTGGGTCTATGGGAGTGCAGGTCTGTGCTGCCATCTCCCCCTTTCAGCTGACTCAGGCAGTGCTTTCTGTCACCAGTGTGCACTTACACACACACACCCCCAATGCCCAGCAGCCAAAGCTGCAATCCCCACTGAGCCTCTTTCCAACGTACCCTTGGGGAAGGCTGCTTTAGTCTAGGTTTAACCAGGGTCATTTTACATAACTGAGTTAGAGAAGTACCAAGAAAACAATTTCATCTGCAGAGCAAAGGCAGCACACTAACAGCTCCAGGTGCTCAGTTCAGGCACAGTTCAGTTTGTGTGACTCCACCATGAAAAGTGTGTCCCAGCTGCTTTGCCAGGTATTTCCCAGGTCTGGCCTGGGAAACCTGCTCCTGCTCTTCACACATACAGGAACTTGGTGCTATCAGATACCGGTGTTTGCACTGCTCCTGGTAGCCTAACACGTCTCAAATATCTGTTTGTCCAAGTTTTAGTGCTGTGAACTTGGGTTTGCTCTCTCCTCATCTGATGAAGAGCACAGAATACCAGGCAGGGAAGAATTTGGCATCCCTGGACAAGGGAGGCGTTATAAAAATGCTCCCCAGATCCAGGCTGGCAATGCTGCATCCTAACAGTTTGTTACCTGCACCTTGCTCTAGCATACAGGGTTTGTGTACTCTGCACAGAAGGTTAGTCTGGATCTTCAGGGAGACATGAGGAGAAGGTGTCCCACTGCACCCACATTGCCAGTTGGGTTCCATCTGCACCGTTCACTGTTGTACATGCAGACAGGGTCACAGAAGTAACCCCAGGGATGTAACCAGGCTAGTGTTTGCTTTGCCAGGACATCTGTAGCACCACAGAGTTTGGTGACCAGTGTCATTAAAGAGACTCTCACTTTTGTGTTCCAAGTGAACGAAACTGAGTTTGGTTTGGTGGTGACAGCAGTTGTGTCTGAAGTTCGATTTTAGGTGCACATTAATTCTTTCCTGTGCTTTTTCCCCCCCCTTCTGATTAAAGACCGAAGAGAGAGAAGCTCAGCACGGAGAGTTCAAACAAAAAGACAGAGGGAGCCTTCCCCTAAGTCCTCTGGACTGGAGAGAGCAGCAAAGGGTAAAGGTAAGGGGGAAAATCATGAGCAATTACATGGACTGATGCACCAAACTGCTGGAGGTCAGTGTCATTTGGGCACCCACCTGCCAAAATCTTTAGCTGGGTGTTAAACCAAACCCTAGGATCCACGGTCAAGGACCAGAGCCAAGTTATACCAAACATGTAACAAAGAAAACCACTGAAGCTTATGGTGGTTCTTTCCTGTGAGGGTGGTGAGGCCCTGGCACAGGTTGACCAGAGAAGCTGTGACTGCCCCATCAATATTCAGTTCTGTGTTCCCCAATGAATTAAGAGTGCCCTCAAAATGCAGGGATTTCCTGGCCTGCAAAATAAGGATTAAATCAAAGTAGTCAGATTAATTATTCACAGCCTTACTGCAAAGTCAACAGCAGGAAGCAGTGGTCCCAGTCCCACGTTCTCAGGTTTCTTTGACCAGTATGCTAACTGTACGTTTGAATTACTGGAGTGATTTACCCATTAAATGCTATTACTTTACACAGGAAATGGTTGTGTTCAAACTTTGTGGGGAATCGGGCAAGTAGTGGAAGTGCTATGGGTGCTGCTCCCTCAAAGCTGCTGTGTTTTACACCAGCCAAGGTACCAGCTATGTAACCTGTGTGAACCAGAAAGAAAAAACCCCATGCAGTTGAAATTATGAACACAGTGGCACCATGTGCTCAACTACCTAAAGATGATTTAAAATGCATGAAATATGTAATAATTTCCTCTCCCTTCTCTTTTTTTTTTTTTTTTTTGTTTTAATGGATTGTTTGAAAAATGGCTCCATCTTCCTCTGAGAGAGGGTCATAATAAGAGCATGGCACATGAAGCATTCATCATTGTAACTGCCAGTGTCATGGTGTCTTTATTGGCTATTAGTTTATGTCAGTGCAAGAGCCAAGGCAGGGCTAGAGGAGATGAATGAGGGGCAGGGGTCAGAGCCAGAGCACTCAGGAATTTGATGAATTAGAAATTTGCTGCAGTTAACAAAAAATTAAGTCACAACAGCTATAAAATATTCATCTGTTCATAGGTAGAAATCCCCCCAGAGGAATATTAAAATCAAAAGATGCTCTTCTAGCGACTGTTTGCATCAGAAATGCAGCTGCTCTTGAACTTTAGCAAAGGAGTTTCTGTAGTTAATAAACACTGTGTAGATAAAAAAGATTTAATTGGAATCAGACAACATGGGGAAGTGAAGATTGTGAGATCTGCATTCAGGGAAGCTCAGACAGCATGCAAAATAAGCACTTCCTGCATCTTTCATACAGCTAAACTAGAAACCAAAGTAATAGAGCAAGGTGTTCACTGAAGACACTGATGGGTCTCAGCCTTCCTCAGCCCATCAGATTCTGGCAATTCCATCCATAGTTCCTGCTGTCAGACACAGATCTAGTGTATAAGTCCTCTGAAGGGTTCCAGAGTAAATCCACATGATCATAGGGAGTGACCTCAGGTGCACAGAGTGAAGCTCTTCCTTGTCTTAAAACCTTCATTCCCCTTGTGATACAACCTAAACTGCACTATCAAGATGTGCTCAGAGCATCTCAGATTCTGCTGCCAATCCTGCTGCTGTGAGCAGCCGTGACTCTGTCAGGGGCCATGGTCCAGATCCCAGGGCTGTTGGCTGAGATGCTGCCTTACTCCAAGCAACGGGGATCTCGAGATGATCCCACTGACCAATCAGTCTCTGAAGCTGTTCTGTGTTCAGCAGGTGATTCTTAGAGGTGCTGCACACAGCTCAGCTCATGGACAAGTTTACTGAGCAGAAGGTAGAAAAGCCTGACTTGGTGACTCAGTACCGAACCACATCTTTGAACTGAGGCCAGTATCGATTTAAGAGTAAAGTCTCTTCTGTAAAAAATAAGCTTGAATATTTTCAATGGGGAGAATTTCCATGCAAACCCCAAACAACAAGTACCTGTCTAGTGACCTACAACTGGCAAAGTGTTTGCAATAAATACATGATTATGCTAGTGCAAGTGTTGGCATGCTGCGAATGCAGTCTGAAATGCTGAAGCAAAACAGTGATAAATGTTGTCTATTATGTGACACCACCTATTAAGCAGGAAAAATTTGTTTGTGCTGCATGCTGCATCATTCATTTTCGCATTATACGTTGTCCCTCATCCTGTGTTCATTGATTCTTCCCCACTGCATCCTGCTGATTCTCACCAGTTTCAAAATGATTTAGTTTACTCCAGCAAGTTTGGAGTAATCACATATACCCAGTAAGGACCAGCAGTCTGTGGCTGCCATCAGGGAAGGATGCTCTCAGGCACCCTCAGGTTGATGTCCCTACCTCTTCTGAGTCCTGAGGTACTCCTGAGGACTGTGGGGGGTCAACGGTTTCTGAGTAAAACTTGTAACAACTGTGTGGACAGGCTACAAGTGCTAAATTGTATAATTTATAATGGTAATGGTACAGCCTTCAGAAATCACTGAACCTTCATGTGCTGCCCTCATCTGATTCATGAACCAGCTCTCTGTCAGCCGGTGAACAGATGGGAGCAGAGTAACAGCCTCCACAGCTGGAGTGCTTTAAAACCTTCTTCTTATCCAAGCATCAACTCTTTTTGTAAAACCTGCCCTGACTGAAACCTTTTAGATCTTGCAAACTCCTCATTAAAAAGACGCACTAGAGTTGCAACCTCCTTACAAAGAACACGTGAGAGTTTAACAATTAAATACAAATCCCCTGTTTCAGGTGCGAAGCTGCCTGGTGCTTCTGCCTGGAGAGAAGGTCAGAAGTTAGCTAGGAAGCTGCTTGGCCCACCCCCTACCTTTCCAAACCTGAGGAGCACAGCTGAAGAGCAGACCACAGCAACTACCCCCAGCAAGGCACCAACCAAGGATACAAAGCAAATACTCAGGAGCCTGCACTTGCAAAGCCAGTGTCACAATGAGCATAGACACACAAGGCTCCACCAGGACACTGCAAAAGGAAAGGTGGAAGCTCTGCAAAGATACCTGGGGATCCATTCTCCTTCACCTGGACTTCAGGGCACAGCTCTGTCTGCCTTCAGTGGGGAAAAGATACACTCTTCAGCAATGAAAGATGGAGCCAAGCCCAGAAGCTCAGGAAACAGCAGCAGCGGAAAAAGTGCATCTCCTCAGAGACAGAAAGGCTCAAGCAGCCCTGCACAGAAAGAGTCTAAGAAAGAAAACCTAAAACACCCCTCAAAAAGGAGGGTGAACATTAAGAAACCTCACCCCTACAGCCCTGAAATTATTCAGGAGTTTATGTATAAAAAGAAGGAAGAAAGAAAGAAAAAAAGCCTGGAAGAGAAGAAGTCCTTGGTGCAGGCCACAGAGCTGAGAAATAAGAGGTTGCAGGAAGTATACAGGAAACAGAGAGAAGCTGTAGGAAGGAAAACATGTTCTGACCAGATGCAGAAGCTCATGGGTAAAACAGCATCTGCAAAAGGGAGTCCTCAGGGTAAACGTGAAAGAGTAAGTCATCATTGGTTTTGGGAACTGAAACCCCTCACACCTCGATAAGTACAGCAGATGAAACACTTCTTGCAAGTGCTTCAAAGTATCTGTATAGTTGCATGATCCAATTATTAACTGGAACAAAAGCCAAATATTACCCTTGTATTGCACATGTGTTTGATGCTTACACTAATGGTAACTTCTGTTTCAGGAGCAAACCACTGGTGGCATTCCAGAGAGGAGTTTCATGGCCTGGGTAGATAAAACATCCTGGACTCTATTAAGTGAAGACCACACAAGCAGGTACTAGACATAAAAAGCATCTTTGAAAGCCTCTTTCTCAGCACTCTGCAGCCTTTTCACATTATTCTGTTGTAAACTATATAAAGTGATGGAGCAATGCGATACCTCACTGTAAACCAGCCTCGCTGCACCCTGGTCAGGGAGCAGCCAGGAGTGCTTTGGAGCGCAGCGGGACAGCAGTGCTCTGGCTCTGCAGGTTGAGGCAAACTTTTCAGCTTGCTTCTATGTTATTTATTTTTACATAATGATTATTCCTCGCTAGCCCGTGGCTGATTCTTCACCTCATCTGTCAGCAGTTCATGCTCCATCCTGAATCCATAATTTGGCAAAGGTATCTGTTGGCAGAGAACTCTTTCTATTGTGGAGTGCTTTATCTGAAGATACTGGTCTGGGCAGAAAGTTACTGTTACTTTGTCCTTACAGCATGGTATTTCTCCTTTTTGTTTAAACAGGAGTCAACTAAAAGCAGTTCAGTCACCTAAAACCAGAGAGGCATCAGCTTCTCCAGCAACACCAGAGTCCAAGTGCTGGTTTGTCAGTCCTCTAAAACATGAAGACTCGAGGGACTGCTCTCCCCTAGCCTCGCGCATACATCCTCTGAGCTTCTTCCTTCCTCAGGAAGATACAAAACCTTATTCCAAGAACTTGACTTCTGGTCTTTCTCCATACAGAAGTAAACAGGAACGAGTGAAAGTCATACATAGTCTGTCTAAGGAACTTTCAGAGAAGATTGAGGTGGCAACTAAGAGACTGAATGCAGTGAGCTGGACTCAAGACTCCACTGGCAAAACATTATCAGAGAAAAATCTGGACCTTTACAATGAGACTTCTGTCCCAGAACCTGACACCTTCAAGGATGAGCAAGACAGGACAATGACCATACAAATGCTTTTGGATGCCCCAGATCCTGACGCATCAGCTGTGCCATCAGGTAGGCAATTTCAAGGACTAGGCAGGATTAGCCTTGGGGGTAGCACTGGTGGAAGCAACATCCCTGGACAGCCAGATGGAAATAGCTGCTCCTTGACCTAGTGGGCTTAGATGCCCAAGTGTTCCAAAGCTACAGAGCAGTATTTAAGCCTCACTTCCCTTTGGCTATTGGAAGAGTTGTGTCCTGGCAAATCCCTGAGCAGTGGGTCCTCAGAATGAGCAGTCATGGATCCTTGAGTGCTTGCAGGCTTGTTCCCTGCTCAGCTCAGATCTAACTTACAAATAATCTGAGTACTTTCTTCTCCTCTCATTGCACCTGTGAAGCTACATCTCTGCATTTTATCTGTAGCTTTGCCACTGATTTTGGACATATCACTTCACCTTCTGGTGCTGAGGCTTTCCGGGGGGGGAGGGGGGGGTAGAGAAAGGAATTATTAACCTAACCTCGTGTACTTAGAGACCTGTGGGTGCAAAGAGCTATATGGAAGTTAAGTGCTCACACATAAGTAGGCAGAAAACAGATGCCAAAGCTGGGCCATTTCATTTCTACCAAGAGCATATTTATTAAATGTGTTCATTTGTCTTTTTAAAAGGTTTTGCTGCGAATAAGGGCCCCGAGGTGGACACAAGCCTATTGCATGGAAAGCCCATAACTGGCCCAGCCACTCCATCTCACAGATTCCTCTCTAGAAGGTAAACAAATCTGCATATATTATTCTCTAAATGCACCCCCCATGCACGTAGTTAAAATAAATGGCACCAATTCAGCACGGAGCCAGCCTCCTCTTTGCTCCGTACCTGGAGAATCGCCAAGTAGGCAGTTTTTGACACAAGATGTATTGAAAGAGGGAGCCACCTGTTTGCGGAAGGTCGATGGGAGAGGTTCACCCGGGGTTTTTGGACAGATGGATCTCCGCTACAGGGGGGGGTTGCCGCAGGGGCAGCCTCCCCGCAACGGGAGGAGGCGGGGAGCAGGGGGGCAGCGCTCCCCAACCCCTGCAGCCGAGGCTCTGCCCTCCTGGAGCGGCGGCAGCACCGATGGGGACGGGCTGGGGTCAGCGCTGCCCGCCAGGAGGAGGCAGCAGCCCTGCGCGCCCCTCCTCGCCCGCGGAGCTCCCCTAAGCCCGCGATGTCCCACCAGGTGGCACTGCCAGCAGAGTCAACGGGTTATCTTCACGAGTACCTAGTTAAACCTCCGCTGGTCTCCTCCTCGCGCGGGACTGCAGTGGTTTAATCAACCGAATACTATACATTCATTTTTAGCAATTGTTTTCACTCACTGTGCTCTGAAATGGGGTGAAGGATTCTGCTCACTCCGCCTCTACTGGTTGTGTGTATGTGGAGCAACACCTCCTCACAAACATTGTGTTTCCTTGAACAGGACACATTGTCATTGTTATGGAAAATGGGTTTTGAAGCAGGAAATTTAGAGGAAAAGGACTGTGCTAACACAGGTTGGTTTCAGCAGCCTACGTTAATGAAACGTTTAATGTAGATGGCAATGAGCAGAAATCCTTCTGGTCTTAAAGAGCAAACACCTACTCATGTATCAGCCCCAGGTGGGTTGTCTCTGGTGGCAGAAGGACCATGGAGAGACAATCACCACGGCTCAGCCTGTGCCCCCATCCAGCCACAGTGAAGAGCAAAGCCGGGGCCATGCACCTGCCAAGAGCTCTTCCCTTAGAGAATAGATCCCCCAAGCCCTGGAAGATAAAGTCTGACCTGGACAGGTATTGCCGAAGAAAGGACTCATGTGCAGCAAACTGGCCTCTGCTTCCCCATGTTCCTGTTCAGGGAGAAGGATGAGTTGCTGTGGGGATCCCAGCCCAGGATCTGCTGGCCTGCACAAAGCCCGACTGGGAAAGAAGATCAGTTTTTAACTGAAGGTGGGACTCAAGGCACAGCATTCTACTACAGAAGATTGTTTAGAGCTTTACAGTGCAAAATAAACAAGAGCAAAATGAAAATTGGAGCAATAAGTGCAGAGAGCTCAGCTTAAAAAAATTATGACAAATGATTATTGGAGTTCCTGAGTTAACCCTGTTCTTTGTGTGCAACTGCCACATTCCCAATGGTTGGGCTGGTTTCTGCCCCAAGAGATCATTTGCAAGGATTATAGAGCTGTTTTGTCACAGAAGATGGCAACTGTATAAAACTGGAGCACTTGTCACTCTCTGAGTTCAGTGAAGAGTCGGAGCTGTGCCTGTGCTGCCCCTCAGTGGGGTAGGGAGCATGGCCGATCCATTACTCTTGCCTTGATGCGCATGTTTACAGGCAACTCTAATTCACAGTAATGGATGGAAGGTGGTGCAGAACCCCTGTAAGGCCCCGCTGGGAACAGCCCCTCAGCTGTAATGAACAAGCATCAAAGCAGAAATAAGACAGATTGTGCTGATCTCCTGAACAATGCAATCAGTGAGAAAGTGAAGCGCCATGTGTTTGAGTCAAAGTCCTCAGAGCATCACACAAAACCCACCGATAAAGCCTCTCAAACAATAAATCACAGCCCTGTTGCAAGTGCTATTTCAAAAGACGAGGAGAGCTACTTGCAGATAAAATATCACTGTATTTAGAGATTAGAAGTGGAAAGTGTTGCTGTATTGTGAACTATTCCAGATTGATCTCCCTGTGGGTTGAGGGCCCCTCTGATGCAGCAGGGAGTGGCAGTAAGGGGATGATATAAAAGAAAGATCACCCTGTGTCTAACCCTTTCTTAGTTACTGGTAAAGTAGATAATACAAAGGTTCAGCATAAAAGCCCCTCTATGAATTGGTTTTTATTTGCACATGATCTAGATTCTCACTTTGGACGTAGTCCTGAGTCCTGCACATTCACTCATGGGAAGCAAAAGTGGGTGAAGTCCTTACACATGGGTGGGCATCACAGCCAGAAAGGACAGCATGAAGCTCCCATCATCCAGCACCAAGAGAACTCCACCAGGGGACTGAAGGAAGCCTGTTCTTCACCTTTACAAGACTGTGCTAACAGGCAGGGACAGTGCCATGTTCTTAGCGCTCAGTAACCTGTGCCTGTTTCACCAGTGTAGCCAGAGCTGGGTTAGAAAATGTGAAGTAAAAGCAGCTGAATTGGTCCCGTGCTCTGACTTCTGCTGTTGCTACCAGTGACAATGAGTTATGTGTCTACAGCTGGCCACAACAGATACTCTCTTCAAGAGTTCATCCGAACAAAGCCACCTGTGAAAAGCTGACGGTTTGCTGGCCTCAGTCACAAACACAAACCCTGCTGGTTACAAAACCAGCTCTTGATCATCATCATCTTACCACAGCCCGTTTCAACAGCAGAGGTTTCTGTTTACATGTTTAATTATAGCTGTGAAAACAGTGACTCATGTTCATGCAAGAACGCCTGCAGGTGCCTCTTTCCATGAGAAATGTTCCCATTTCATGCACGGCTGCTCTGCTGGCTGCAGGGTGGCTGATGGAGATGTGTTGCTAATGCAAATGATTCACTGATGGGAATTCTTCAAACCACCAGTAAATGCGTGTATAATTTCATCCCCACTTTGCTGCAGTCACCTATACAAGTGGCTTCTGTTACATTCCTTAGAGACAGTGGTTATTTATCAAGTCTGCCTCCCAGCATGGACCTAGTAATGCTTTTTAGCCAAATCCAAAGAGCCTCTTCTGGGAATTGTGGTGGTTTATGCCTGCCATAGAGCTGGTTGTGCCTGGAGGAGAGGGGTTGCTGGCTGCTCCTGTGTAATCCCAATACCGTCTGTAGAATCTGCATTGACTTCCACTGGTGTTGGCAGTAGCCTTCCCAGGAAACTGGCAGGGCTGGATTTGGACCTCTGCATCAGTCTCCAAAAGAAGTGGGCATTTCTCAAGAGCCAAAGGAAACAGTGGCATTGGCTAAAATCCTCTTACATCACAAAAGCAGTGATAATGCTCAGTGCCTTTACCCAGTGAATACTAGAACTACTTTTTACCTCCTTTCTTTTTCTTTTCCTCTCACCCACCTTTGCTCCCACTTTCAGAAGACTACATCCAAGACGTGTTAGTGGAAGCTGTTCTAATTGTTTTAGTAGTTTCTGGGTCATGAAAAACAAAGAAAAGCTTATTAAGGAGAAAACCGAGATAAGATTTCCCTAAGCTGATTGCTGATTGAAAAAAATATTCCACATTCATTTTTCTGTATAAAAAACAAAACATCTGTCACTGTTTCAGCGTGTCTCAGTGTCCTGAGTGTGCTTCAGCTGAGGCTTGATCAGTAAATGCCCATTTCACACCTTTCTTCCTAATCTTTTTAGTTAAGCTCAGAGAGTTAGAGATCAAAATAAAACAAAACCAGTTGCTGGGATCTTTGTCAGGACAGTGGGACTTATTGCTGACACTGTTGTGAAATATTACAGTATGTACATCAACAGCAAATCACAGCCCTGGGTCACAGCCATGCTCAGCACGAGCCCCAGGAACATGGAACAGAGACTGGTATTCTGTGTTTCTGAAAGATTTCAGAGAGCTTTGCCAAGGTTCAGACCCAGATTGTGCAACCAAGTCTTGGCATGGCACAGATTGTATGATGAAGCCTCATAAATTCAGCTTCAGAACTGCAAGGTTGTTGTTTCTGTTTGCCATCAGGTGGAAAACTATCAAGCCCTTTCAGAGCAGTAATTACAGTAGTAAAGACAAGTGCTACCTGTACTGACGACATCAAGCTACACTATGACGTTACATTGAGCCTTTTGTTTCAATTTAACAAAATGCAATAAATAATAGCTTGGATAAAATAACAGTATTTTACTTCAAAAGACTGCTTACACACATGCACTATCTTAAAAACTCTCCAAGTAACTGTTGGTACCTTGGCACAGTTCACAGAGAGAACTCACAGCTCAGAGGAATCACTGCTGGTGGGAGCCTAACGGTCAGGATCCAGAGGAAGCTGCCAATGGGTCTCCTGGAGAGAGCCTGAGGACACGGCACAGCCGGGGATTGCAGCTCTCCTCCCCTCTGAGTGCTGGAGCTGAGGCTCATGGCAGCTGTGAGCAGGACCATGGTAAGGTGGCATTTCCCAAAGTGTAGGGTGTGGTGGTTATCCAGTGCCCTCCCAAGGTACTTATGCCATTGCTAAAGAATTAATAGTCCTTCATTGTAAGAGAATTCCTGCTAATGGCTCTGACTAGAACTGAAAATACTTCTGGGGTGAGGGAGAATTTCAAGTAGCCAGGTCATGTCAATCTAGTTGATTCTATGATTTTATGTTCCAGACTTCAAAGGTGAAGGATGTTCCCTCAACATTCAAGATCAATTTGATTACAGCCCACTAAAAAACACAATAGAAGTCCTTTTGCTGTCACACCAGTGTGACTGCAGCAGAGGGACAACCTCACAGGTTGCTCCCATGCTGAGTTACACCATGACAGCCATAGACAGCCCCAGATGGAACAAACACTTTTTTAGGTTGGAGACATTTTCAGCTTCATTTGAAGGTCTCCCAGAGCCTTGCAATGAATTCTTCATAATTGCCACATCACATAAGTGTGGGGTATTATCCTAGTTGGGCAGCAAGAAACATCAAGGCACATTTACAGGGGCTAGCAAAGGATGCAGGCTGATGGAGAGATGTGTTCAAGGACCCTGGAGGGCTGGGCAAGACAGGGTGACTGCAGGGCTTTGCCTCTTCTACCCCAACAAACGTTTGCCTGGAAACAAGGGAAAGTTTGTGGCCGAAAGGGTTAAATGGCAAACAGCACCATGAGCCTCCTCTGTCTGAAGAGATCTCTGCTGGCTTCCACCAAACAGAGCAGATGGCGCATTGTTTTAAGGGCTTTTCTGAGACAAAAGAACAGGATCAGATAACCTTTCCTCAAAGAGGGTACTTACAAAAAGCCTTTGCTCTTATTAAGGATTCTTCATTGTTTTCCCCACAAAACTTCATACTTAATATTGGATTTTGAGGTGGTGTTGATGCCAGCATTGTTTACTAGGCTTCTGCCCAACCCCCAGGGGCTGGGAGGGCAGCTCACATGATTGGACAGTGAGTCTGTTGTCTGAAGTGTTTACCACAAGCAAAAGACATTGTATTTGTTTAATATTAATAACTAAGGGCCCCAATTCTGGAAGCTATTTGGCAAAAAGTCCCTGCCATCTACTATTCACTACAGGAACAATAGGAACTGCTGCCTTGTGTCTATGCCAGGAGAGGCCTGAACCTTCTCTGAGTGTTTGCAGGCGCTGACAGCACTGAAGCTTCAGCCCATGGTTTGACTGTGAGCCAGCAGGTCCACTCTGGGCCACACTGCTGCAGATGAGGCACAGAACTGTCATTCTGAAGACAATGTGGGTTTGAAATATGGGTCACAAGTGGATCTGTTCGCCACTCTTAGCAGGGAAAGGGCATTCAGACACAAGCCTGTATTGTTTGCTTGAGGCGTCGCACCGGCAGTTGACTGTGTTCTGTGTGAACACAGAAGTCACTGTGCACACGCAGCATAATGATGTGCAATTATACAACTGCTGCAGAACATAAATATCTACTTTTAAAAAGTACCCACATCACCTGCTTGCTGAGCCAAAGACATGAAAAATATTCTGTAGTAAACACACTTGACAAAATAACAAATTTCATTTTCAACCATAACAAAGCAGGGTGTAAGAAGCAGATATTCACAACGTATTTCTAACTTTGCTGCCTGGAGTAAGACAGTGACCTGTCTGAACTGTTCCGTTCTCTTTCTAAACACAGCCAGTATAAACTCCAGAATTGCAACTGCTCTAAGCACACCTGTGATGAACCCAAATTGGCTCCACAGGCATCACTGGGAAGTATTTCACACAGCTCCTATGTGCATCTCAAACCAGTTCAGCACAAAACCTGCTATAACCAAGTGAGCTGGTGAGGAAGCGGTTTGCACGTTCTGCTTGCCTCAGAGACACCACTACATAAAATCTTTCCATCATTCCTGCCAGGCCACCAGGTCTCTTCCCCAGGGAGATGAGGAGATGAGGTGTACTTTCCTTGATGCTGCAAGGGAAGTCCCCAGTTCCCCTATTGCTATTAAATAAGGGAAGTTGGTGATCTAAAAGAAAAACATTTTGCTTGTGCCCCTTGCTACAGCCTTGTGATGGGACTAAATGAGCCAGAAAGCTCATTTCATGGGCCAGACTTGTGTTTCCTTTTCTGTATTTGAGAGAGAACAAGGTCTGAAGTTAATTGTTAAAAAGAAGTATTTTCTAACAGTGGAAGTTTAAGCATGGCAACTGGTTTGAAGTAACTTGCAATAGGAAAGCAAATGGGGTGGTCTTCATTGTTCTTTAAATGCAGAATTTTAACCTGATTACGAAGAAAATATATTTCTATGTAACACCTTTCCCCTCCACTGCGGATTGAGATATTCTCTCACATCACTAGAGGGAGCTTCCTTCTTGCTTCTAGCAGAGAGAAACGATTAAATTGGTGGAATCAGGGCAGTGTAAGAGCCTGGTTTCAGCTAATTGTCCGCTGATGGATAGTGCTGAGATAAGAAGACAATGACTCGTGTTTCGCTTCAAAATCCTACACTGGCTTTTGTATGTTATGAAGTTTCTGCCTGGTGCTGCAGTGAGCTCCATCAGCAGCCTCCAAGCACCTCTCAAGCAGCCTGCAGCAATGGCAGTGTTGAAGCTTCTTGGCACTGTGGCAGGCAACAAGAGAATGGCTCAGGAGAATTGCTCTCACTTCCTTTGATACTAGTTTTCTCCCTCTGAACTAGTTTCTTTCCATCCCCACAGAGTCTGCATTGCCTGCTGATAAATCATCCTGTAGCCTGGGTGTGCATCAGATTCAGGACTTTGTCCTTTCCATGCTACTTGTGTCTTGTTCCTTGTGAAATACCACTGCACAGCATGTGAACACACACGATTTCTTCCTCTGGACAGTCAGGTGTTGCTTTGCCATACAGGCTGGGGCTGTGATATCCATACTGCAGATGCAGTGGGTTGAGGCAATAGAAAGAACTTTCCATGGAAATTCAGAGTTCTGTTTAGGTCCAGATGTGAGCCCAGCTCCCTCCTGCTAGCCTGCAGCAAGAGCTGCTCTGCTGCTCTGTGTGTGATGTGCCACACGTGGAAGGGGCAGCAGCAGGGTGAGGTATTGCCATGTGCTGCAACATCTGGTTGACAGCTGAACTCTGGCCAACCCTCCGCACCAGAGGATTTAGATGTAAAAAACCTGCAGAGGACAGGAGCAGCACAGGCTACATTAATCCCCTTGTTTAGCAAGCAACTAGTCTTCAGTGACAAGCGGGATGCCAGATGTATTTATAGAGAAGAAACTGATTTGGCAGGCATGGAGATACAGATTCTCTGAGGTACTCAAGAATGCAGCCCATTGATTTCCCTGAGTAAATGAGCAAAGCTTTCAAGTATAGAGTCTCTTGCTTAGGGATTGCTCTTGGCCCACAGATCTTGCTGAAGAAGGGTCAAACTGCCATTCTTGTCACATGAGCTGCAAATCTCAGCTGTGACCAGGGGTTAGCAAACCTCTCTTCTGTGTCTCCACTTACCTGTCATCACTACAGCTCAGTTCCTGCATGCTAACAAGGTACTGAAATGCCTGGGTGTTTTTTCACCCATCCCTTCCCTTCCCTTTGCAATAATGCAATTGAGCTAGCACAGTAACTCTGGAGAAGGGAAGGATTGCCCTGACCTGGGTATCAAACAGGTCAACTCCTTCTGGATCTGTTGCTCCCTCTCACAGTAGCATTTCAGGACTGTCTACACCCCATCTGCAAACAATTCCAGGCAATGTAGTCAAAGTTGTGCTTACATCTGAAGCTGCAAGTATGTATTTTGGTAATAACTGATTTGGACTGATTGCTGACATGGGCAGAAAGAGGAAAATCTGTCCTTGAGTAAAGGAGCAGTTAAGTGCTTCTGCCTGGCTTCAAGTGATTAGAAAAATGAGACTTTTAGCCCAGCTTTCTTAATTATATGTCACAGATTCTACAGGGCTTTGCTGAGATTCTGCAGGTGCAGCGGAAAGTGATTTAATAAATGGCATTTTTTGAAAGACTGAGTGTGTGTACATTGAAGCTATCTGGGGATGCAGAAACCCCATTCATCATAGAGCAGGAGGACGTGAAGTTTAGCCAGATGGTATTTTCTTTAATGCTGGGTGTTGCAGCACAAGAAATGCATCTGCAAATAGCCACAATTAGGAAAATTATGTTCAAAAGGAGTGAACACAGGCCACAGCAAACTTCTTACTCACTTTGATATTAGTGCCACTGGTCAGACTTTGAGCAGAACAACAATAACATTGTTTAGTTTGAGGCACAAACTGAAAACACTTGCCAGTTTTAAGCTCTATCCTAGTAGATTACCATGCTTCACAATGGCCCACATATTAGCATTAAAAGCTATTCAGACAACTTGACATCAGTAAGTTTAGCCTGTAGTTTTTTTCTTTACAAAATGACCTTATTTGTTAGGTCTGAAGGAGGCTTCCTCAACTGGCTTTGAAAGTGATGAGCTGTCTGCATACCCACTGAAGAGCTCTTCACTTTATTTTTTCTAGCCTTTTTTCTATTACTTTGCTTAAAACCAGCAATAAAACTTCCCTGTAGAAACTACAGCTCTTTCATCCACAGGATTTTCCTAAATATACCATGTCACAAAGTCATCTCTGGTAAGCATATGCATTAAAGAGTCTGAATCAGTCCTCAAAATTGAGGAAAACCAAGGCTCTTTTAAAAAGGATGACCTATTTATTTGGCATATGATTTCTAGGTAATTCATTGTGATTTTGCCCTTGCAAACAACCCTCCAGAACCAGGACCTATGCATCACTGAAGTAAAAGATGAGATTTTCATCCAGTCTCCTAATTCTGAAAAGTAGAGGGTTAAGAAAAAGCTCCATGGTAACAGTCAGAGGTGACTTTTGCAATCAAGCTGTTTATAAAAACACAGCAGCATTCTAATAGAAAATCTGCACCAGGCTTAAAGCATTAACATTTTATTTCACTTACATCCACGTAAAAACAAAAAGCATCCTGGCATGCAAAGAAGCCTATGTCTCTGCTCCTTCCATGTTCAAGATCCTTCAGTATTTACAGCAAATGCAAACCTTGCCTGTCATGGGCTTATCCTGAGGCTTGGGGTAATTTGAATTCAGACAATCTGGATGGGGATACAGATTTTATCTCAAGTTTCCAAGTCAAACCTATTTCTATTTATGACCCACATTTCAATTCATTTATGGCTCTGGTTGCTGTGACAGTGGCACAGCACAGAGTAAACATGCAACCTGTTTGCATAAGCTTAGCAATTCATCTGAGGAGCTCAAAGCAGCCAAAACCATATCACTGGTAAACATTACATCACTTGTACTGTAACAGACAGGAGAGTTACAGTAAGGAAGCAGCAGTGAAATAGGAGCACGCGGAACAAGAGTTCTTTTCCCCACTTAAACTGAAAGGTTTTTTCATAGGTTTGTTTTACCCTGTGACAAAAGAGAGAAATCCAGTGGGACCCTGTACAGGGACAAGCTGCAAGATGGAGGGGAGCTTTGGGAGCTCCAGTGATGCTACTGGAGCTCCCAAAGAAGTGACCAGGTTGAGAAGCTTTTCTTCTTCTGTAACTAGTGTGCCTGGTCTTGATGCAGTGAGGGAGCAGTGGGAATAGTAAGAGTGGCAATAACTTATGCTCTGAACTTCAGGCTTAGAACAGGAATTACTCCCCACTGCTTCAAATTCCTGACATAGGCCCTCTTGAGTCCTGCCTCTTCCCCTCTCCTCAGTACTTGCAGGACTTTATGCTAACAGATTTCTTGACAGGACGTAGGTAGAGACATTTTCCTTTTTCAGATATGTTACAAGAAATAAATGCATGCAGGAAAGTTATTCTGGGAATAAAGGCAGATTTGGGAGGCTTCCAAAAATAGGCCCAGGGAGGATTCAAAAGGAAAATGCACTTAGGAACAATGTACACATCCACCTTTCCCCTTTTGGTGGTTGCCTGTTTATGTCCATGTATTAGGACTCAGGAATGTTTTGAGAAGTACAGTCAGGCCAGAAATTCAGCAGAGTGCTGAGAAGTGTTCTGGGACCACACTGAAAATAACACAATGCTGTTAGATCAGTTACAAGGTCTGTGGGTGTCAGTGGTGACCCAGTAAGTCAGCCCTCCTGACAAAACACTTAGCAAGTGCTTTAATCCCAAAGGACTTGGACAGTGCAGAAACTGTTTCAGGGCAGCAACTGAAGCCTGAAGGAATTTGATTCCACTGCCTCCCTCTGGTTAACTCTGACATTTTATCCAGCTAGCACTCATTAAACAGAGCACAGATTTGTTAAATTAAGAAGTGGTGACTGTTATCATCTGTTTCCCAAGCTCCTGCAGGTGATGGACACCCTGGCTGCACAGAACTGGAAAAGAAACACAGGAGCCACCTGGATTATTTGAGGCGAACCTCCCTCCTGCTGGCTCACAAACTGAAGGTACAGTAAGCAACAGATGCAACAAGCAGAGCAATGCAAGTTCTGCTGTCCCACGTAAAAAGGTGCTAGCTCTCCCCTAATCCACATGTGTTTAGGATATAATCAGTTGGCATCAGCTGACTGCATCAGGTTTATAAAGCTCAGGTACCTGTAAAGGGGAGGTGTTAGCCTTAAACTGCTATTTGGAGGTCCTACTCTAGCACTGGTGGGTAAGAATGCATTGCTGTGCAATGCCAGGGCTGCCTTCTCTTGGAGTTTGCTGCCCTTTGCTCCCCAGCTGAGGATTCACCTGACTTGGTTGGAAATATCATTTATAGTGTGTCATTTCCTAGCACAGGTTCATCAGCTGCAGCAGAGGCAGCAGCTTACAGTGCTGAGGGACAAAGCAAAGCTAGAGGTTCAAGAAAGCCAGAGGTGTTTGAATGACCTGCTTCAGCACAGTTCAGGGGTAAGTTATCATTTCAGCTCCTGTGTTGCCACTTCTGACTGCAGTGAAATCTTTCTCCAATCCCCACTGGGGTTTGTTGGGGATTTTTTCCCCCCTCAGTCGAAAGACTAAAAAGCTTAGGTCAGGATAATTTTTTTGGAAGTGCCCAGGTCTCTCAGGTAACAGAGTTCCTTAAGGCTGTCATTTGGACTGGTGAGCTGAAATAACTCGGGTCCTGCAGCTTGTTTACCTTCCAGCCTCAGATTCTGCACTCAGCTGGGGACTGATGGACTTCAGTGTCTGTTTCTTAGAATAAGAAAGCGGCCCCATATGCATAAGCACAAGCTCAGACCTCATGTGCAATTCCAAGCTCTCGTTACATGCTTGGGAGTATTTACTTTGGCAGATACTTCAGCTCAATTAATGTCTCTCAATATGTTGGAACAGGTTGGACAGAAGTGATATCTCTAGGGTTTTGCCTAAGAGGCCTTAGGATGAACACAGTACCCTGACTCTCATGAAAGCAGCTCTAAATACAAGACAGTTTGGAGCTGTTACACTATCTTACTTCCATATGCCCACACAGGTTTTTCACTGTGAGTAGTACCCAGCTCATTAGTTAATGCAACTCTTTAGGAATACTGATGTATGAAAAGCATTATCTACAATGGAGAGCTTTCCCAAGAAAATGAGGGAAGAAAGCTTCAAAGTTCTGCCTTTCAAATAGATCATCCAGGTCTACAGACAGTTTCTGTGTTTGCAGGAGTGCAGTAGCTCCAAGGGCAGTTATCTTTATGTGCCAAGATTGGACCATACAGAGCCAACACAGAGAGGACAGCAACCAGAAGGTGACAACACAGCTGGCAGGTACAGGAGGCAGTATACAATGAGGCACTGCAATGGTTTAGCCTGTGCTTTGACTACTTGAATGACACAGGGCACTAAAGCATTTGCAGTGTGTTTCTAAAATAGATGTTTGTTTCAAGTCATTTAAGAACAGTAATGGATGGTACATTATCTTTGAAACTTGTGGGGAAAATACAATTTTCCTCATTTTGCTTTACCATCATATACCTTGGTGTGAATGACAGTATTGTATGTGTGCATTTTTATGTTCATTTCAAGTAGCATAAAGACTGCAGAATTGCTTTTGGAGCCTTACAGATACAATTACCAGAAAGGTGCCTTTGCACAGGTAAAAATTCCAGTATTGCCCAAAAATGAGCACCACTCTGGTTTGAAAAAGATTCAGCCTTCACAGAGGGCTTAACTATGAAAGCTGGAATTGAAAATGTATCTCTAACTCCTATAAGGAAATATTTCCTTTCTTACCTTCAGTAAGCAAGAGATGCATTCCCTGAAACCACCTGCACTGAAGACTGAAAGAGACCACAGTCCAGTGGATCCCAAAACAGTGGGAGAAAGAAAACCTCTGGGAGAAAGGGATTCGTACCCCTCAGTGCTTCAAGAAGGTGAACACCGAGTGAAAGGATTTGGTGGTACTGGGCAAGCAGCACTTTCTAGCATGGCACAAGAAACAGTGCAGCATGCAGGGGCTGGAACACGGAATCACAAAGCTCAGTAACTTGATTTTGAAAGTGTTGACCTAAATAATTCCATTCATTCTGCACATTTAAACTATAGCGATTTCCCTATGTAGTCCTGACTTGTCTACACAAAATAACCTTGAAAGTTGAGTTTTCACCCTACCAATTACTTACCCTTTCTAATTTCTGCCTGTTTGCCACGATTTCAGTGGGAAGTGAAGGTTCATGCCCGTAGCTTGCTCCTGTGATTGAAGAGCTGTGGGGAGATGCTCCTCAGGGCAGCGCATGGTCCTGGCTGCCAGCTCCTTGCAGAGGCTCCTTGAATTCCGGAATGGACGTGAACTCGTGCTGTGGGAGCTGTTTTGTGGTGTCTTTTTGGCCTTCTGTTACAGAAGGAATATCTTTTCCCTCAGGATCCCTGCTGGCAGAGCACAGGGAGCCGCTGCATGACCACCAGGCCTTTAACCTGTCCTCACCTCTGGTCAGTCTGCACCATGGGGAGACCTTGGCAGGGGATGACTCCCGAGAGAGCAGCGAACAGGGCAGCTCAGCCAGCCAGGTAACAGCAGCTCTTTACAGCTGTGCGGGGTGCTTGTTTTGGGGTGGTTTTGCTTGTAGTCCCTATGTCAACCTCTCACCTCACCAATAAATATGGCACTTGCTCTGTCCGCAGTGGAGCGAGGCCGCCCGGCACTATGGAGGCTCCAGCACCTTCTGCCGCTTCAGCTTGGCCATGGCGGAGCAGTGCCTGAGGGGAGAGGAGCTGCGAGCTCGGCACCAGGCTGCCCTCCTCCAGCTCCGCAGGAGAGCTCTCCGGGAGAAAGCCAGGGCTGAGCTGGCCTGGCTGCGACACCAGCAACGGTGAGGGGAGGCACAGGCAGGACCCCACAGACCTGCCATGGCGGGTGCTCAGCAGGGCGGTTTGTCTTCCTTGGAGGGGAAAAGAGCAAATGTAAACCCCTTCTCTTACAGAGTAAGTGCAGGAGGAAGGAGTCTGTGCAGTTCCATTCAATCCAGAGCGCAGTTGAGGTCCATGTTGCAGCTTTGTCCTCATGGGGTGTGAGCCTCCCCTCAGAGCTGACTGCGCTGAGGCGCCATCATGGCCAGTGCGAGACCCAGTGAGCGCAAGATGTCCCCCAGCACTGACCGGGCCGCAGCACCGTCCGTGATGGCGCAGGGCATCATCGGTGCTGCCAGGGATGGGGACAGACCCTGGTGCAAGGCATCCCTCAGTGCTGACCGGGGGCACCGTGGGGTGCAGTTCATGGCTCCCTCAGCAGCCAGCACCGTGCACTGAGCGCTCAGGGAAGCCTGCCTGCCTCAGGATTGCTCCTGGCAATATGGCCCCGGGTGTGGTGGGGTGTCCCCACGTCTAGCAGAGCCACCATAGCTGTCCCTGGCACTGCCTTCTGAGGAGTGTTAAACTGATGGCATTTAATGATCCAGTTGTGATCCCATCCCTCTCTGGCCTCCAGCTGTCTGGAAAACCTGCAGGATAACGAGGGAGCCTCTGCCATGGCCGCAGAGCAGCGCAGGATCCTAACGGAGCTCAACCAGGAGGAGGTAAAGCTGCAGCAAGAGGAGCTGGGTTTCAGCTCCTAACCGGTGGGAGGATGCGACACCAGGAGCTGCTGGACCAAGGGGGGTTTGCTTCCTAAACCAGGCACTGGGGTCTTTCCCGTGCATTGCTCTGCTTTGCTCCCCACATTCAGGGAGAGGGGGTCGTGACCAAGTCAGCAGCGTGTGCATCTCGGAGAAAAGAAGTACACACAAGAGTTCTTTTTCTATTTTTTTCTCCTGTTTTTGTGGTTTTATTTCTGTTTGTGCCATAACAAAACCCACATAACGCAGAATTCCACTGATGTGTGCAGATTTAGGCTTCTGATGATGAAGTACACTAAATTAATCTGACAGCTAATCTTATAGTCTTGGTTCTTCTGCTCCTGAGGGGAACGCTGGGCTCATACTTACACTTTGTCCCACTCCTTATGTAGTACAGGCCTCTCCTTTAGCTCAAGGAATTCCTGTGTGAGCGACAAGCATTCCATAGTTCTGAATGACCTGAAGATGATCAATTTCCAAAGGTCTCGCCTCTCAGACACCCCATCTCTCAAGCAGTGAAATATATCCCCTTACTCGTCATTAGTTTTCATGGATATCCTCCAGTCAGCATTAGTGAAGAGCAGAACTCCAAAATCCTTTACAGAAAAAGGAATAAACCTGCATATTGAATCCTTGGGATACTTTGAGAGTGGTATTGCCTCGTGTGAAGAAATGCTGTACACATTAAGTGGGGTCTCTCTTTTGTTATCTTGGCTCTGTTATCTCCTGCTCCGGCAGGGGGTTTGGACTAGATGATCTTTTGAGGTCCCTTCTAATCTCTAACATACTGTGATACTGTGATGCTCTTTTCTTTCTTCCCTTTGCATAGGCAGAAATCCAGCACCTGCAAAACATCTACAGGGCAGCCCACCAGGAAAGAAAACTAATACTAAAGCAGCAAAGAGAAATCTTAATGATGCAGCATTTGACAGCACAACTCCAGGAAAAGCTGCATAATGTGGCAGGGAAGGAAGAGGCTACTAAATCACAGTCACCAGATGCCTCGGTGAGTCCTTTGAGTGAGGAATAACAAAATGAAGAGCTGGCAGTACAGCTGAAGAACCCAGGTGAAACTTTACATATTACCTTTTCCTTTTAGCTTACAAGGAGCCCAGCAGCTGAAGAAGAAATAAAGCTGAAGACAGTGAGACTTATTTCTAGCCCAAAGTTACATTCCTCTCCATCAGAGTCTGTGGCCCCCCCCGAAAAGCCTGACCTGTCGGGGAATAGGGACAATTGTGCCCAGCTAAAGAGTAAACAAAGCAAGAAATATGAGTGGTAAGTAAAACCCTTTCCACAGCAATAGCTGCAGGTAAGAACCAATCCAGTGGAGAAAATGGGCAGCTATGTCCTAGGTAATTGTGTGAGCCGTAAATGCTCCCAAGAGGGAGTTTTATAGTGAAAAGTTTTGAAGCCCTTTGTGTTCAAGCACTTGATGCATCAAGATCCCTGCTTATCATTCTGACCAATTGCCTTATTGTTTATTTGTGTCCTCCATATGTCCAACCTCCCATCTGGTGTTCAAAATGGTAAGCTCCTTGGGGCAGGGACCAGCTTATTGCAGGGGATGTGAACAGCACCAAGTAAACTAAGGTGTGTAAATCCTTTTCACACCATCAAATTCCTGAGGTGGGATACATTCATCACTTCTATGTATCAACAGCAAATAGTGTATTTATTTCAGATTTTTCTTTAAAGAGAAGTCCTCTTCTGTGCAGGGGAAAAAAGTGTTTTAAGTGAAGTCTTGAATTTGATCAGAAAGTTGTTTAAGTCAGCATTTACATCAGCTGCACTGTTTATCAGTGTTATTTTTCTTTATCCAAAAACAAACCAACCCCAGAGTCTCCTGGTGGTTACAGGGAGTTACACTGTGATCTCAGTTCTCCTTTATGTCACAAATAACAGCACCTTCAGCAGAACAAGCCAAATCTCAGCCTTAATCCTGAAATTTAGTCTGTGTCTGCATATGCATCTGTCTATGTCTATTCAGACATACAAGCAAATGTGTGGTGCTGTGATTTACCATTAGAAGTTGGACAGGTCTGTTTCATGCTGAAGAAAGCCCTGCTGGTTTGCCACCATAAGCTCCCTGCACATGGAAGGGGCTGCACTGAGTAATAAACTGTTTAATCCTGTGTGCAAAAGGTGGAGTAACATTTGCTCCCCAGGCAGTTGTGTTTTCATTAGATGGCTCCATGCTCCCGCTTGCAGCATCACAATCCTCTGGGCTACAAGAAAGCCAGTCTTTGCAGGCTTTATACGTTCATTTCAAACTGCATTTTTGTGCGAGCAGGTTAACATATTTCACTAGGATTCCCTGCAATATGACATGTTAAGTAGCATTATCTAAGTCTGTGGGATTGGCACCTGTCACTGCAATGTTAGGAACAAATGGAACTTTGACATCAAGCCTAACAAAGTTACTTTGCATGGCATTATGAATATGAAATACTGAATATTTTTTATGATGCTACACAACTGCTAATGATAGTTCACATTTTCTTTTTTTTTTTTTAAAGTACAATCTCAAAACACTTTGCAACTACCTATTAATTAGACCTCAGGATACCCATACAGAATGAGTGGAAATGTATTGATTTAATATGCTTCTTTGTCTCCTCTGTCTCCTCTGGCTGAGCCTATGTATCAGCCCCTCAGAGGAGGTTTGTGTTTTGCTTAGGATTTAATCACAGAAGGCTTTTTTACTACACAGGGCTTAATTTTATGCTTAAACTGAAGTGTAGGAGTGTCATGTAAAATGCTCAGAGCCAGAGGTAATTCAGGAGTTCAGCAGTGCCTCCTGTTCCCCGGGCACTGCATCCTCAGCACCTCCCATTGCTTCCCACTGAGCTGGAGGAGCTGTGCAGTGCAGGTGAGGACTCAGCAGTACCCACACTGCTCACAACAGCAGTCTTCCAAAGCAGACTCAGATGAGTAAAACCTAGTTTGCTTCAGAAAGATAAAATAAGTAGTTAAATCCATATCTATATGAATTAGAAACCCCCTTCCACTCGGTGTTACCCAGATCTTTAGCAGACTGGTGAGTCAGGTTTGTGCATTTACTTAAGTCCCCACAGGGAAAGGCTTTCAAATAAATCCCTGCACAGAACTGATCTATAATTCATGGGTTTATTGATTACAAGTCACAGAAATCTTTAAAAGGTTTCTTGGCTGTGCTTTCACTTCTTGTTACTGACAAGCCTGCTCATAGGAGAACAGTGAATATTCGCATTAGTCTAGAGCAGAGGTGGCCTGGTGGAACTCACGATACACCCAAAATCTGGCTGCTGTCTGGCAGTGCATAGATCTCCTCCCTGTGTAAAAGTGCAGAGTGGTAATGACACTATTTATCTACCAGTGCAGGTATGTTCATATCCTGATCAAGAAGACAGTTGATAAGCAGGGCTGGAAGGGGCTAGAAAATACTTCTAAAAATTAAAGCAAACTGAAATAATAAATAAATTACCAGCATGTAGGAAAAGCTGTTGGTTTAGCTTTGTTAATGGATGGTGCAAGGAATACAGAAGCTTTTAATTGTTATAAATGGACAAGCTTTTAGCTAAGAATTGGGAATGCATCTTCTGAATTGAGATACTTAATTTGAAGTCCCTAAACACTAGTGGTGTTGAATTAAAAATAAAACAATGAATGAGGATTGAGCTTCTAGCCACTGTCATATTGTTAATGTTCATCTATTCAAGAATGCATTTAACTTTCTAAAGTGTTATTGTAGTAAAAAAAGATACTCCCCAAACCTGAACGAAACCAAAACAACCCACATATAGATCACTCTTTTTTTCTGGACTCACTCAACTGTGTATTAGAACTTGATGATCTTAAGGTCCTTTCCAATCCTAGCTATTCTATGATTCTATTCTAGAACTTGTGCCACTAACTGAAAAGCATGTGAGCGTGAATTGTGTTGCTTTGTGCTTTTGCAGTAAGCAGGCTGTTTAGAAAGTTCAAAGTCACCATCATGTTCAGTGTCTGATGTCCCAAATGTCCATAAAGTTGCAATGGTATGTTTAACATGGAAAAATTAATGAGATCTGTTGGAATCTGCTACAGTACCACAAATTGGAAATGGGGGAGGCAAACAGGTTCAGAGTTTGACCCTGGTTTTACCTTTTAAATGCTGATGATTTCTTCAGTCTCCTCCTGTTCTCGTCTACGAAGATTAGAAACCTGACTCTATAAAATACAGTGTCAAGTGAGAAGGAGGGGGAAAGAGAGGAAAAATACACCCTTCAGGATGCCTCTGACTTTACTAATTTGCTGGTTTCAAAACATATGTGCCTGTGAGCACTCTACAGGTACTATCAAGCACTATCAGAAGCATTTAATTCATACCTTTATTGATTTCATATAGATTTATCATGATTAATTTGGAAACACAAAACCAATCCCCAACCATTAATTCCTTGTCTGTTTACAGTTTTCCTTCTGAGAGCAAGGGAACACTGATATGCTACCAGAAGCAGGCAGAGGAGTTGCCAGGTTTGGAGCCATCCCTTGGTCTGCAAGGTCCTGATGTGTCTCAAATGGCGGCCAAGAAAGTGTGTGGTGCTTCTGATCAAACCACAGGCTCAATCTTTATGATTAAAGACTGCAAAACCACAGGTACCAAATAAAGATGATCTCTATAGAGATCAGCCATGTTTGTGGCTGCTTAGTCAAACTGCATGACTTAGAGCAAAAGTTAAAGTCTTAGTTGTTCTTTGGAGCAGTTCAAGTGATCTTCCAGAAGAGGACAAGCACATGAGAGAGAGCTTGTGATGTTGATCTGTTCCTTGGTTACCTCCATCGTGGGGTTTGGTACCAGATCCTGTTCAGGATTGGCAAGAAGGTGTCACAAAGGTGTAAGTTCTGTTGTTGACTTAGCAGCCATGCATAGATGTAGAAAGAGTGTGGAAAATTCTGGAAGTGGGCTTCAGAATTGCTACCAGGTAACTGGATGATCCCCTAGGTGATAATTGAATAAATACGGTCGTTGCTCATTTCAGCTTCTGTTGTGTGAAGAGTGTGTAGGGCAAAACTAAGTTACACAACTATAAATATCTTTAAACCTCCTTGCCTGAGCTAAAGAAAAAGCTATAGTCAAGTTATTCTTGGAAAAGAAATGCAGGACTGGAAATATTGTAACTTCATGTTGTACCTTTCAGAGCTTAATGCTCAGGATCATGTTTTATTACCTTGGGAACATGCAGATTCAGCTAGAATGGATGAGCCTGTATCCACACCATTTACAAGAGAAGGCAGAAAGTGTGCATTTCTGGTAAGGATCACCCCTGCAATTCTGTTTCTGCCTAAAGAAATGGTGCCCAAGGTATTATTTGCCTTAAGATAGGACCAGCACCAGGCTCATTTGACAATTATGAAGATCAAGTAAGTCTTGTGTGTTGACTGTGTGCCTTTCAGCTAAAGACTGAACAACTTTCCTGCCCTTCTATCTTCTCTATGTTATGAACTGATGACAATGTCCTTAAGCCATCTCCTGTGGTGCAGTGATGCTCCAGGAAGAAATAAACCTGCTGCCCATAGCAGCTGCAGAGACTAGTTAGGCCCTTCCCTATTTCCTACATCAGAGACACACTCACAACATGGGTATATATATATATGCCCAGGAGTATATATGAACTTGTACCTTAGTGTAAACATGTAGATTCAACCTCTGATCTCAACTATTCTTTCTGTCAGCAGAGTCCTTTTCCCTTAAGAAGATAACCCTGTTTCTTACATACTCACATTCTAGGAGTCTGTGCTGGAGGAAAAGGCACTTGTTTCAAACCCAAAGATAGATCCTAAAGACAATGAAGATATTAATCCATGTGACAGTAAGTTCACAATGAAAAGCTGGGGGATGCTTTCTATTTTGTGTAACTTATGCCTGGTTCAGGCAGAAAATACTCTTCAAGGAACTGGTAAATCATATTTAATGCTATTATGTCCAATCTGTTTCAACCGCTTCAATCAAACTTTAATCCAGACAGAAAGAGAGACAATCTCCTCATTTATTACCTGAGTGTCTTGCTCACTTTACCCAATATATAAATCACTGCTAGGCAATATGGTGGAGATCTCTCAAAGGTTTATTATCAGATATGATTATACGGCTTCCTCAGAACAAAATCATAACTTATTCTGATTGTGTCATTAACAATTTACTCTCTTTTGAGGCATTTTTTTCAATAATTTAAGGCTGTTCTTTTTAAAAGAACATAGATCACTTGAATAGAGACTTTGACAGGACATGCTGGAGTTATTTTTGTTTCCTGGTTTTATCCTCAGTTCATATTTCTTGCTCTCAGTAGGCTATATAATGAATAAAACTGGCTGTTTGTATATGAGCCAGTTATACCATTTACATAGCTCTGTGAATGCTTAATCTCTTCATTATAAATATTTACATATTGTGACAGTATTTCATATTTGTGATAGATTTCTAATGAACTGTCTTTCTGCATTTACTCCATAGTGAGGGAGACTATAGATTGTGTAAGACAGACTTAAAAACAGCGGTCTTGATGATCAAAGTTTGGCATAGGCTGCACCTTCCCTAGATTCCCAAGCCTAGTTTAGGATTTGAATCTTAAATTATCTGTCAGCAACCTACAAAAGAATATTGTTCTGAAATCTGATGGGCTTTATTTTATTTTTTTACTTGAATGGTCCAGGTAAAGAAGTGGACATGCCTGTCCCATATGAGACCCAGCAGGTGGACGGGAGGCAGTGTTTGAAGCATTTGGACCATATTTCGCATGAAGCTCCTGATGAAGAACTACAAGCATTTTCTGAAGGATTAACTTCCACTGACTCATCACTCAGGCTGAGCAACTTCTCCCCAGGATGTCAAAGTGCCAAATCAGATTCTTCACTCCTGGAGTTCCAGCAAGTGTCTGCAGTTTGGATTGACATTTCAGAAAGCTCCAGTTCAGATCCTGAATCAGAGCTGAAAAATGGAGAGGACACAGATGTCAGTATCCCACACGAGTTTGTCTGTGACAATGGTGATGCATTTCCTGATGTTTCAGAAGAGCCGCTCATAGCAAGAAGCAATGGAAAGGAAACGTTACTTAGTGACAAACACACTGAATATGAACTGCCTGAAGAGCACAGCACTGAGGCTTCATCATGCTCCCAGAAATACCCTGGAGATGATTCAGATCATGGCTGCACTGATCAGTTGCTTTCTTTCATTGCATTAGACAAAGTAAATGCCTCAGCACAATCCACCCAATCTGATAACCCTGCCAAAGGAATGGATGAGCCACATCTGGATGACTTGGAAAACTACAGTAGAAACAGAGCCTGTTCCCAGGAGGTCACAAACCAGGGTAAAGCTGCAGTTGCCAGCACCTCATGCAGTGATGATATTTACTCACCTAAGACCAATGAACTGAAGAAACCTAGTTCTGCAACTAGCAGAGTGAAAAAGGATGCTGAAATTAACAGTTTCTTTGTGGATCAAAATAGAAGCCTAATGGGGTTTCCACTCACAGATTCTTCGAGACATCTAGATTTGGTGACTGACCAGCTTAGGAACACTGTCTCTTTTCCACCCGACAGAGATACTGAAAATAACAAATTACTGACATGTCTATCTTCAAGAAAATTACCTGCTTCAGGAGGTGAAAATAAGCATGCACAACCTTTGAACAAGAGACTCGAATCCAGCAAACCCAGTCAGATTGTATCCTTGTCCACACCCATGCCTGGAATTTCTGAGGAAGTCCATATAGAAACCAACTCAGTCGAGTCTTTCCAAAGGGTGGATACAGAAAATCAAAGTACCTCCACAATGGAAAGGCAAGCCATAAAAGAAGAAAGGAAGGGACTGTGTTCTTCTGTCTCCTCAGAAAAGCAATTGCTTCAAGCTGAGAACTGCTCTTTCAAAGGTGAAGATGATACAATTTTTATTAGTGATGAGGGTCTCCCTCCAACTGATGAGGAAACCCTGTCAGAAATACTGTCTCCTGTTGATGAAGTATTGTCCTATGGAAGTGCTGACATGCCATCCTCTAATAAAATTGATTTGTCATTTCCAAGTGAAGATCTTCCTCCTCCCCCTTTAGGCACAGATGCAGTGAAAAATGATTCTCCTAGCTTGAGTATGGATGATCTCCCATCTCCACCAGAACAAATGACAGTCTTGGAGACTAGACACTCTATGGATGAAGATGCATCACTGAAAATGGACACATTGCCCCCATTACCTGATAACACTGTGCCTGAGGTATTTCCCCTGCTCAGTCAAGAAACAACTGCTGTTTTTTCAACACAGGATGGTACAATCTCAGAGCAATCTTTAGTTAAAAGTATTTCTGGTGCAAAGGAGAGCTTATCAGAAAACCAACAAGGAGAACATGAGACACCTATTCAGTATTCAGAGTTTCTGCTTGTGTCAAATGCTGCTACTTCTGGTCAGGCCAAGGAAAGTTTCAATTTCACAATGAAACAATGCAAAACACACTTAGCACTGCCCAAAGCTGAGGATAACAGTGCCGACCCATTGTCATCATTTAAAATTGGGGACAGAGTGTTAGTAAAGCAGACCCAACCTGGAACCCTCATGTTCAAAGGACAGACTTATTTTGATAGTGGCCATTGGGCTGGTGTTGCACTTGACAAAGCTGAAGGTGATAACACTGGCACTTACAAAGGGGTGAAGTATTTTGAGTGTGCTCAGCACTGTGGTGTCTTTGTCAGACCTAATGAGATCTCCCACTTATTGGGGGCTAGGGAAAATGATTCCAGTTACACTGGGGATGAAGACTCTGACTCCTCCAATGATGATGAATCCTTCAGAGGAGACCGCAAATATTCTGAAGGTGATGAGCAGAGAGCAGGGTTTACAGAGGAGAAAGCAGAAGACACAAACAGTGTGGGAGAATCAGAAGTGAAAGAAACCCAGGCCAGGTTACACACTGCCTTGCTGTCAGGAAAAGGACAAAAGTTTCCACGTTGTGACCAGTGTAATAAATTCCTCTGTCAAATCAACTTAATGTGCTTGGGATCAGATACAGAAAAACCAGAACCAACACGAATAAAACAAAGGACCCTTGCAAATGTGATTCTGATGGAAAGTAAGGCTGGTAACACAGATGAGGGAAACACAAGCAAAAGTATTTGTCACTTGGTAAAGGATCAGAAAAGGAATAACCTTGTTGGTGATATTGCAAGCGAATCTGGTAAAAACCTTCTGCTTGACATTTTAATTGCATTTTCTGAACCAGCCCAGCACAAATCTAGAAGTGCTTTTGCAAAAGATCTAAGACAGGATGACTCCCAGAAACTGTTTCTCCTTAAAGAAAACTCAGTTTCTTTCTTATCTGAACCATCAGCAAAGGTTTCTGATGTCTTGTTGTGTGACTCTGACATACACAGTGCTCGTGGTTGTCACACAGTAGCAGAGAGAATTGCAACTAAATTTGTAGACCACGCAGTTACACAATATAAGAAGATTAAGAGAAAACATGGCTCAAAAGCAGACAAGGTATTTCCTCTATCTCCAGAGGCTTCTCCAACCACTTTGCCAGTAAGTACAGTGAGAAGTCTTTTTGTCTAAAGTCCTGTATGTGAAATTTTGTCTACACAGACAAGCATTTGTGTTGCTCAGTTGTTTTCCACATCCATAAAAATCATGTCAACATTTGCAACCAGATAGCTGACTTAATCTGACCTGTTCCTCTCACCAGCATATGCTGGTGAGACACACACAAAAGCACTACTTGTACAAATTAGATCAGTGGCACTCAGCTCCTTGGAAGGAAACTGTGGAAGTTCCTCTTGTGATACCACATTACAGTTCTTATGTTAAGGAATTGTCTGCATGTGCTGTAGAAGAATTATGGACCCCAGAAAACATAAATTCAGATTTCAGAAGGATCAATGTGCCAAAGTACTTTGAATGTAATGATCTCCCAGGGAACGATTTGGAAACAGAAAGCAGGAGGATGTATAATCAGGTATTTTTAAAGCAGTAACTGTTATTCAACTCACCCAGTGTTCTGTACACTGACTCATATTAGCTAGTACTTCATATTATTTTAGCTGTTAACACTAAATATAGCTAAAAGAGCATTGAAAGGCATTGCAAAGTACTGCTTCTGGGTAATTTGCTATAAAATAGTTTCACTAAAATGGATGTCCTTGCTGTGATAGATGCCTTTTGCTAGAGCTTTTCAATTGTAACTCTCTGGACACACAGCCCAGCATCTGTTTTGGGTCTGTTCAGAAAGAGCCAAGCTTCTTGGAAAGCTGCAAATTAAAGGATGTACCTTGGATGGTCCTGCTGAGTTTGAACAGACATTCATATTCCTCAGCATCCTGGAACTACTGAGTTCTGTGGACCTCTGCCTACACAAGGAGACTAAAGGCCTCCAGCAGCGCCACACTTAGTGAGTGCTCACACATTACTGTCCAATCCCTACTGTACAGGATCATGTGCTCTTTAGGCAATGATCAGTATAGGAACATCAGTGATGCAGGTGATGTTAGGGTATTTTGCACCAAGATGCAAACCTCTACTGTCACCAGCCTAACATCCTTCAGAAAGGCTGAGAAACCTCTGAACGGGCATCAGTGATGGATTTGGTTTATGCTGGTACTGTGGTTTTGTTGTTGTAGGTTATATCTGATTTGACCCATGAGTTGCCATGTGCAGAATATCAAGTGTCTGCAAATCCAAACGCATTTCCGTGGATGCGAGAAAGTTCCAGGCGTCTTTGCAGAAGAACGGATGTCAGTGATGTCAAGGTACATTCTGGAAACACAAAGTGTACAATAACAAGAGTCAGGGAGGAGAGCAGATAATTGTCATGGCAGAAAGACAGTGTGAAATGTGGGAGGATTATGGCAGTGTAACTGAGGTGATTAGAGAAGAAAACAGCATTGCTCTGAAATGCTTATAAATACAGACCAAGCTGATTAAAGTGTACAGAGTTCTACAGAATGGGAATGGGGCTTCTATATATCTCTGGTTAGGACTCTGTTGGGTGTAACCTTTAAAGTAATCTTACATGTAAAGTGTGTTGGTTGCCCAGTACTGATCAGCTACTTCTAGATCAGTTCCCTAAACTCTGGGATGTTTCTAGATCTAAAGATGGATCTTCACACTGGCACCCTGGCAGCCTTCTCAGTGACAGAATTCCTATGGGAAGAATTCTTTTCAGCCTCTTCTATTTTGTAGACATTTGTTCAGGGCAAAATTTTTAAAACAATGAGCCTGAAAAAGAATGACTTATAAATGAAAATCAAATTCCTTAATATGGCCAAGTATGGCAACTGTAAGAGAGATAGAGTGGACCTTGTTCTGGTAAGCAAATTCCAACTGGAGATTCATTTTGATTTTCTCTAGGTTTAAACTAAAAAATCTCATGCTTTTGTGAGAGTTGTGTGCACTCAGAATAACTTTCAGAGCTTCTTTTTCAGTACACTTGCAATAATAATCCAGTACTTCCGTTTCTTGTGAGTGGTTCAAATGAAATACATTAAATTAACGATGCATATCTAAAGCTCTTGGATTAGGTACAGTGTTTTGGTACCTCTCAGAACAGACCATACTTTTATTCTTGAAGTATTATAAACAATTAAAATCTCTGAAATAAAATTGTATCTTAGATTCAGGAACTCTGCAAAGAAGAATCTCAGTGGATTTACTATGATGATGATGAATTAACTGTGAAGATGAGAATGACTGAAGACATATTTGATAGCTTGATCCTCGATACAATCAGAGTTCTTAACAAGATCTATCTGAGAAGAGCCTGTGATTCTCAGGTTTCCCTGAAAGATTTTTAAGCATTTTTTATCTCTGATTTTTAAAATACTTCTTTTTTCAGGCAAGGAATTTTTTAGCCATGATTTCAGAATTTTACTTCTGAACTTGTACCAAATACCAGTGGGGTATTGACCTAATCTGTGTGTTCATGTGTGCTTTGGAAATGCTCATTAAGGTCAATGCTCACCTTTGATGTCACACAGAATCTAAAGGGTCGAAGTTTTATTCTTGTCTGGGTTTTTTGGTCAAGACAGCATTTTATTCACTTGTGTGTTTTAAGAGCACAACATGTTTTAAAATAGTGTTCAAGTCTCTACAAACAGGGTTCAAACCCAATTTATGTGTAAATTATCCTATTCTTTGTTATCATGTTCAGGCTATGAGTGATGACAGGTGAATCATACTGTGAAAATAATGTTCAGATAATCATAAGTGACTCTTAAGAATATAAATGTGCAAATGGAATTAAATCTCCTAGAAACAGAATTGCTGTGTGCCTCTGCAGTTTGGAATAAACTCCTCTAACTGAAACAAGCCTAAAGCTTTTCCTGATGGGCACAGCAGAGTTAAATGTCACTGCATCATTTTTATATGTTCTTATACACTATGGAACTGGTTAAAAGGAACCAGGAGATGGCTTCAGAGATGTGGCATATGGAATGATCTTGTCCTGGCAGGATCTAGAGCCAGACATTCAGTTTTAATATCTACAACTTTATGCAGGTCAGACAAACAAGCTCTTTAAAGGGGATATTTTTCTATCAGTAACTCCAGTTTCTGAAAATTAAATATGTGCCTGTGATTAGGTTATTTATCATACAATTCATGTGAGCCCTTTAAATCTTACATCTAAATGTAGGCTGCTGAAGGATGCGCTTTACTTGGAAAACCACAGGAAATCAATAATCCTATTCTTTTGTTTTGGCAAAAATAGAAAAAAAATCGACATTCAGGGTGTCTTTCAAATGAAATGAAAAGCAGGACAATTAAATATAAGCCATATATAAACTCCTATTTTAAATCACAATATTTACAATACAGGTTTTGTGAGGAAAATAGAAATACATTCTATGTTTCTGTTTTTAAATATTGATGGCTTAACTTTTCCTACTGAACTGTTTGTTTTCTGAATAAAGAAAACAAACCCCCCAAAATCTCACTTTTATTTCTTATTAGTGAAATCAAGTGGAATTGCAGGCCATAGTGTATGCTCTGCTGTTCTCAGCGGTGAATAGGAGTGGTTTTGTTGTTTTGCAGACAGCTCCTGCTCGCTGCCCCCAGTGCATTAACTGTTGATCTTCTATCAACTATCTTCATGTCCCTTGTGGTACCTTTCCTTAACACTCTGACTCTTATCCTCATCGACGAATTAATCCAGATAAGTTATTTGTTCCAATAATAATGTTTTCTTGTTGTCAATGTACAGTAGGATTTAACTCATTTTTTTTCCTCCTGGACTTACAGACAAATTGTGGGATACAATGACAAATCCATATATTGAAGCACTGCAGTTTTTCAGTTTACTGTCACTATGGTTTTGCAGCAGCAGCAGGATCCTTGTTGTGTTTGGAATGAAAGCTATTAAAAATACCACTTATGTATGTGAATGAGTAGCTGAAGGTCTCATTCCATTTCAGACTGATGCCTTATGCTACGCTATATGTTACACTTGAGGAAGATAACCATTATATTTGCAATTAGGTTTGTGAGTGAAGCCTGAACGCTTGCAAGATGCTATATACAGAAGGACAGAGCTATAAACTAACTCCTGCTGATGAGAATAAAAAGTGTATACACAGGACATGTCAGACATGTTTAATATCCCCACCATTCTGTGTTCAAAACCTCAGCTTCTGGCACCCAGATATATTGACCTGTTCAGTCAGTGGCAAGACTTCAATATCAAGATTACTCTCCTTCAAGGTCTAATATTTTGTTTGCCTTGGTTTTGATCAATATTAACCTCCTGGGTCAATAAATCTTGATACCAGCCTCAAGAGGAGTCATTATCTTTCATAGAAAATGATTATTTCTCAGTTAAACCCTACATTTAATTTTCCTGTAATCCATCTCTTTCATCTTCATCCATTTAACAACTCTTCTGAATAAAATGCACTCTCAGGTATCTTTCTTGGGCGCTGCAGGTTCTGAACATCCTAATTAGCAGCTGACACAGGATTTCTGAGTTCTTTGAAGTGGTTGGACTCTGGCTTACGGTACCTGGGGGAAACAGAGACAGGAAAAAACCCTCAGCTGGGATGTAATACAAGCAACCACATAACTTATGGCTGTGGGTATGGATGCAGGTGACTGAGCTGCTTCAGATGTTAATGGTGAAGAAAAGAGAGGATTGGGAAAGGAAAAGGCAAAGGTGGCAGAATCTGTTCCTTGGCTGCCAAAGGCGAACGTTTTTATTGTATAGAAGAAACCCACCCTTGTCATGTCTGTGTTACTGGCCAGAAACAAGGATAGATCAGATTCTAACCTGTATTTACACTGCAAGAATCTGCACCCATTTGTTTCCTACTTGTACTTGAAGGATTAAAAGAAGCATTTGTGAGTTACAGAAGCAAGAATTATCCTTTCAGAGACCTTGCTCTTTCACTGTCTGAGTTTTAGACTCCTCTGAAGTCTCCATCTGGGGACTTTTTCTGTTGGTTTCTGCTGTTAATGTAATGACATTTCTTGAGCCTGAACTTACAAATGAAAGGAGACTTTCACACTGTGGCTGCAGCTATGAAAGGTGGTAAAATCTATTGTTAGTGCTCAACCACTCTCAGCTTACTAAAAGGACATCGGTTCTTACATCCTCTTGGGAGCTCCTATGCGCAGCCTTTTATCGCTCCTTCAGGTTGTGGGGGGAGCGGCTCTTCCCCACTGGGAGGCACTTCAGGACGAACCACTTCTTGACCCGAGGCTGCACTGTTTTAATCTCTTCTCAGCAAGCAGCTTTGTGAAGTTGAAGCTTCTGTTCCTACAGCAGATTGCCCACAAAATCGGCCACCAACCTGCCCTTATTGTTTGAACCTCGGTTGGTTTTTCCCCTCGGCAGTCCCCTGAGGGAAACGCGGCTCAGAACACAGCGGCGAAGGGTTTATTTGTGGTGTGCCGCTGTCACCAGGGTCTGGTAACGCTCCAAGCCACCCCACCGCCTCCATCGCCTGCACCTCCCGGGCTGACGGAACCGGGGCTGCGGCCGCCGGGGCGGGGAGGGCCGGGAGGGGGCCGGGCCGCAGCCGGCACTAGGCCGCGTCGCCAGGGCCGGCGCGTTGCTATGGCGCGGCCCCGCCCCGCCCCTCGCCGCGCGCCGCTGGCGTCCCAACATGGCGGCGGGCGGCGGCGGGCCGGTGGCGGTGCTGCTGGTGCTGCTGGCGGCCGCGGCGGCGCGGCTGTACCGCGCGGGGCAGGACCCGCTCACCGTGCTGACGGCCGGCTCGGTGCGCCGGGCGCTGCTCAACTCCTCGGCCGCGTGGCTGGTGCAGTTCTACAGCTCGTCCTGCGGCCACTGCATCGCCTTCGCCCCCACCTGGCGGGCTCTGGCGGGGGACGTCAAAGGTGAGGCGCCGCCGCCGCCCCTCCGCATCGGGGTCGGGCCGGGGAGCGGTCACCGCCCCGCCCGGCTCTCCGCAGCTCCGCCCGGCTGGAGGCCAGGCCCCCGCGGGCCTGACCCGCTGCCCCCGCGGCCTCCGTGGGGTCCCCTGGCCGCGGCCATCAGTCCCTGGTGCCGGGTACCCGTAGCGGGGCCTTGTCCGTGGCCCGCAGCACGTGGTCACCCGTGGGGCGCTCGGCTACAGCGGGGCCTCTGCTCGCGGCGTCACCCCCGGGCTTCGGCGGTGCCTCGACACCCGTGGCCGTGTGCTGTGTGATGTGCAGTGCCTCAGAGCCAGTGTCACCTGCTTGGCAGTTTGTCGGGGTGTTCAGCCTGGAGAAGAGGAGGGGAGACCCTAGCGCAGCTCCAGTGCCTAAAGGGACTGCAGGAAACCTGGAGAGGGGCTTGGGACAAGGGCCTGTAGGGACAGGCCAAGGGGAATGGCTTGAACCTGCCCGAGGGGAGACTGAGCTGAGCTCTTAGGCAGAAGCTCTTCCCTGTGAGGGTGCTGAGGCGCTGGCACAGGGTGCCCAGAGAAGCTGTGGCTGCCCCATCCCTGGCAGTGCTCAAGGCCAGGCTGGACACAGGGGCTTGGAGCAAGCTGCTCCAGTGGAAGGGGTCCCTGCCCGTGGCAGGGGTTGGAGCTGGAGGAGCTTTAAGGTCCCTTCCAGCCCAAACCAGTCTTGGATTCTGTGGTCATGAGAGCCTGAGCTGACTCAAGGTTCTGTCAAAAAAGGCCCATGTTTATGTATTGCTACAGCAGCATCATACCTTTGTAGGCAATGTTTTTATAACTTGTAATGACTTCTTCAGGTATATTTTTTTCTCTCTGGTTATGATAACTGCAAGGGATGTTACACACATGTATTGCTATAGCCAGTTAAAGGCTGTCTACTCTTTAATCTGTTGTGTTTCTATGAAGACTCTCATTTAAAAAAGTGGATTTTTATGTTGTGGACATTGGCACCTCCAGCCAGCACTTGGCTTCTAGTGTTGTTTGTCAGCAAAATGTTTTCATTTTAATGTTGGAATGAGTGGATTTTAGCAGGAGACTGAGAACAGTCACCATTTTCTTCGGTAGCTTCATCCAAAAATAAAACCCCAAAAGGTTTTGCCTACATAAACTCTTAACATTTATTTTTCAGCAATATTTACTCATCTACTAGCGTATTGGAGCTGTCTTTGGGGTGCAGACTCATCTACACTAGAGAACTCCTCCGTCACTGTGGTTGTATTTGCTGCTGTGGTATAGCCTAGCCAAATTGGTGCAACGGCTTTGTCCATTAAAGGCCTGTGCTAATATACTGAATTTCTATTTCATTTCTCATTTCCTAAGTCTTGGCAATACTGTCACTGCAACCATCACAGCAGAACATGACCCTCCCAAAACACAGCAGCAGTGCTTGCTTTTGTATAATGTACATTTTGAGTGTGATGCTCCCTCTCAGAACAGGCTTTAAGCTCAGCATCGTTGCTGCTGCATTCCTAATCACACATTTAGTTTTATTGCAGTAGTGCCCAAAGCAGCCATTATCGTTAATTGTACTTTTCTATCTTAAAAGATGATTGAATTTATCCACCAAAATGCCTGTGGGCTGGAACGATGTGTTGTAATTTTCTGTGTAGAAGTAACAAACCCTTGGAAATCCCATGTACAACAACCCTTGAATTATACGCAGAGGCAATCTCTGGATTTGGTACAGCTGTTCCAAACCCAGCAACTGTTGTGGCAAATCCAGCAATAACGATTTCATTCTAGAAACTGTTCTTTAAACATGTTTGGTGGGGAACTTCAGAAACGTGGTCGTCCAGGAAGCAGCCTGTGTGTTACAAGACAGAACTCCTGAGTAGCGTGCAGGGAAATGTTCCTTGTGATGCATCTCTTATCTCCCTGACTAGAACTTTACAATGGAAGATAACACATAGCATTGCAGCCTTCTGCTGAAGGGAGTGCACAGGGTGTGTGCACAGGAATTATCCTCCTGCTGATCTGCTGGGACTGGTGTTGGTGTCATAGAATCACAGACTGGTTTGTGTTGGAAGGGACCTTAAACTCCTCCAGTTTCAACCCCCTGCCACAGGCAGGGACCCCTTCCACTGGAGCAGCTTGCTCCAAGCCCCTGTGTCCAACCTGGCCTTGAGCACTGCCAGGGATGGGGCAGCCACAGCTTCTCTGGGCAGAGAGAGGAATTCTGCAGCATTCTGGTGTTGTGTAGCATGTTTTCATATGGGAGGTTTGACCAATCTGCTCCATTTCCAGGTGGTCCGATGCATCCATGTCATTCACTGGAACTTATTTAGCATAGCTGGAGCTAGTGTTGGTTGATATAACACCCATCTACCCCTTTCCTAGAGTTTGGGAATTAGTATTTAAAAAATATTAATGTAAAATTCATGGGTATTTTACAAAGCCAGTCTTTACAGTGCCACTGTAAGTGTGCAGTCTAGGCTGGGCACTTCTGCATCCTTTAGAAAGGAAAATCTCCTTTGGAAGCCGAAGTTAATGCTGAGCAGCACACAGCCCAGCTGGTGCTCTTTAACCCAAGCCAGGGGTTTGCATTGTTGGTTGTGGGCCATTTGCATTGGGTCCATAGTGCTTCTATTCATGGTGTGGAGGAGGATCAAGACAGGTGGAAAAAGGAGGAGGAATGGTGGAAGTTGAATGGGAGACACCCAGAAGCCACACTTGGGGGTTTTTATTTTGCATTTTATTTGATGAAATAGACTGTTGCATCTTTTGTGCTCCTGTGAATACGTGCCCATCTGCTCCAGCGTGCTTGTAGTCGCTCCTGGTGCCTGCTCGGCTCTTGGCACGTTCAGCACAACTGAGATTCTCCCATCGCTGCCCCATCCTCCTCCAAAGACAAATAAAGGTCAAGCTAAAAGCAGCTAGGCAGGCAACTGTCAGTCAGAGCTTGAACTTGATGAAGCTTTCGTGCTCTTTGCTATAAAAGCAAGTTTACTTTTATTGCTCTTCAGATTTTATTGATACTTGGGAATTGTGGTGGGCCTTCAAATTCTGCCCACAGCTGGTTTGATTTAGGTTAGCTTTAAAAAGGAACTGTCTGAGGAGTCTCTGGGAGCAGCTCTTCCTTAAAGTGATTGCTGCAGCCGAGCGTGACTCAGAAAGCTCAGTTCTTAGCAAATTCAGACCGAAAAAGCTTTAAATGAGTCGAAAGCTTTTATTGAAGTTATATAAACATATTTATAGAAATACTTGAATTCTGGTGGTTGTTGCTATGAAACATTTATAAAGGAAAGCTACAGCCAGGTTCAAACTCAGCTATTTAGCACTCTGGTTAAAACACAGGTATTTTTTGAGGTATATCTAATGAATTCTTATGCTAAAAGCTAAAGACACCTTTCAGTGGGCAAACTGTGAGCCCTGGCCTGTGGGCAGTTCTGGAGGTCTCTGAGAGAATTGGAAGTAGTGAGTCCTTGTTAAAACAGCTGTACTAGAAGATGCATTGAATTTACGGTGGTGTAATTGACAGCCATGTGGATGAGTAACTGTTGGATTAATTTTACTCAGTTCTGTATATTCTGCATGCTTTATTTTATGAGCTTAGCTGATGGGAAAAGCTTAGGAATACAGTCCCGTGTCTTGCAAGTGTTGGGGTGCCCCCTTTTTCATCTTCCTGGATTCAGTAGAATGTCTTTGCCCCTGAAACTGCTGCACTGTGTGTTGGGATTCTTATTTAGATGTATTGAAAATACTGGTGCAGCTAAGAAAACAAGGGAGGTTTTTGTTATTTTAAAAACCAGTATTACACTCGAGGATAGAAATGAATAGCAAATGAGAATCGACCCAGGGCTTGATTTTTATGCCATTGGAATCTCCGAGTTCTGTTGTTGATTTCCATGGGAAGCAGGGTAATCCATCAGCTGGGATCCATGATCACTTCTGCTGAAAATTGAAAGATGCCTTTGTTTTCAGACTGGGAATCTGCAATTAGACTTGGTGTGCTGGATTGTGGGGAAGAAGAAAACTACGAGACGTGCAAAGAATACGGTATTCACTACTACCCAACATTCAGGGTAAGTGGTATAATATATAGCCTTAGGTAAATGATCCCTGGAACTAAAAGCATAACGAATGTGCCTGTGCAGTGCCTGACATGTACCTAGTTGTTCTTTAGCTGGACTTTTGTTTTACTTTTGCTGAGAAAATTGCAGAGTTTATAGAAGATGAATTTGAGTTTGTCTCACTGAATGCAATAGCAGATGCAGTTACTTGAGTAGTAATTCAGTCCTCGGTTCTGAATCTGAAAGATTCCTATGGAAAGAAGATGCCATGGTAGGGAGTACTGGATTGTTGTAATAAATTTACTGGATAATAATAATTTGTATAAATACTTTGCAAATTCAGATTTTCATTATTATTAATAGTGATTTAGTTTTGGTATGTGAAAGTGAAGGTAATACATTGAAGTTCAATTAATTATATATTTTTACACTATTTTTCTAATTGACCTCATAATTTGCTTAAACTGCTCTTTAAAAGGGATCTTGTGTTTGCCAAAAGTATCTACAACTGCTCATTTTCAGGTGTAAACGCAATCTTTAACTTCTCTGTCTTTTCCAGTCTGTTAATTAATAATCTTATTATTAACTGTAAGTATGAGCAGAATGTGATGGAGAGGATTGAATAGGCTGTGTTTGTTATAACAGGAGAGGGAGCAAGAGATATTTCTCTGCAGAATTTGTGATTCTACCCTGATAGAAGGAACAATTTTATTTGATTTTTATCTTCCAAGTTTTGGGTGTAAATTGGAAACACCAAATCTTTTCTATTTCATTTTTTATGGCAGAAGGCAGTCAAGCTCTATTATATATCCTGTTCAGCCACTGGAGGGAGTTGAGAAGATGTGAATAGTGTTCTAAGTATACACACAGTGGTAATACTGATTAATCAGTGCTGGTAATCAGTTGTGTTTGGGTTAATGTTTGCAGTAATGGATCAATACACAGTACTGCATTATGCATTAGGGGTTTTTCCTCTAAAAGTTGCCTTTATTGTGTATCAGAGTTTTGACTGGTGCGTATAAGCCACTCTCAGATGGCTGAGAATCAATCTTTGGAACTTAGGCAAAGAGGGAAAACTGTCTTCTGAACAGATAGAAAACATTCTGTAATTAGAGCTGTGAAAGGTAAAAACTGTTGAAAACCATTTTTGTTTCTAAACTGAGATTTCGTCTGCTACAGGGAGGTGTTTTCAAAGCATTAATACTTTTTTTTTCTCCCACATAGTTCTTCAAAGCATTTACAAAGCAGTTTACTACTGGAGAAAATTACAAAGGTACGCATATCCTATGGTAAGAACTTCCCGAAGCAGTTATTCTGTGAATCAGGAATGTGGTGCACAAGAAGCAGAAGCCTTTTGCCAGTCAGTTAGTTTAGACAGCTAGAGATGGGCTGGACATTGAATGGCTCTTTAAGATATGATATTGCAAGCGCTGTATGTAACTGGAATGTCAGGCAGAATTTCAGACAGGCAGAACATTTGTTCAAGGACTGAGAGCTCAGATTCCTCATTTTTTTTGGAATGTAGTTCCTAATTTTCACAAACGGCTTGATGGTATTTGAAAATTTGGGTTTTTTTTTTCCACCACACACCTCATCAGCAGGAGATCCCATTTGCTCAATCCTGACTCTGGGGCTTTTTGATCTATCAGCCACTTTCCAGGCATCCTGAATCTCACTGGGGACAAACCCTATTCAGATGTTGACTGACTGAAAATAGGCTTATCCCCTGTGTCTGACAGGATCACAGCTTGAGGTGGTTTGTCTGGGGACAAAAGTAATGTTGTCTTTTTCAATGGATTAACATTTAGAAGGCCAGAGGTCAGGAGAGAGACCACCTGCACCATTAACCCTTCATGCAGTAGACCATAGTTGTACCTGTTATTTTGGGGCATTTGTGAGCGTTTCAGCTTTTAAATTAATTTCTTTTAAAGCAAAGAAAGTATTCTCACTCTTCAGTTATTTCCTCACATTGTTACATGGCCTTGGAACCTCACCTGGCTGTTTGGCAAAAACAATTAAAAACCTTTGTAGGTTTTAATACACTATGAATGTCCTGATTACAAAAAACCAAGCTACTGAAGTTGCCCACAGCAACAACTGTGAAAATGGGCACAGCTTTAGAATGAAGCACTATTTGAAGAGAAACCAGCAAGGCAGGCAGATGGTTAGAGTTGGAAAAGTCTTGAGGTTTTATTAATTTTGGGGTGGAATGACAGCTTTTAAATCATCTCAACATTCAACTGAAATCCTACAAGCAAATCCTTAGTTCCTGTTCTTCAGCAAAGTAATGTTCTGCTGAAGTCCAAAAGTAAAACAAAAACCTGACAGAGAAAAGCCGGAGGATGTATAAAAATATACATATGGGTTGTGTTGTCCCAGTTTGCTGAAGCACTCTATTTTTTTTGTAACCTGTTCTCAGCAGGAGCTGATCGAGAGCTGCAAACAGTGCGTCAGATGATGATTGACTTCTTACAGAACCATTCCCAAGAGCTGAGACCTCCTGCTTGTCCGCCGCTGGATCCCATTCCGTAAGTTCCTCGTATAAAATACAGCTGCTGTGTGCTTGCTGCATTAATGAAATACAATGCAAAAGGTCCTGTTAAAGTTGAATTGAGCCTTTTTCCTTATTATCAGTTCTGCTGTGAGATTGTAGAAAGAAATTGCATCAACAACAGTGTGTATACTGCATTCTACCTGTGCTAAATAGCTTTCCTTTTCTCCAAAGGTCCAGTGATATCACTTCTCTTTTTGACAAGAGCAGCCATCATTATACTGCCATTGTGTTTGAAAGTAATAACTCCTATGTTGGAAGAGAGGTAATGTATGCCTTATGAATGACATAATGAATATGAATGAATGTTATCATAACACAGCTGAATTTTATGTTATTTAGCCAAACAACAACATTCTTGTTTATAGAACTGAATTAAAGGGTCGTAAAGGGCAGGTCATGCATATTTGAGATATCACAAAGGGATTATATAGGGCTGTTGGAGGAACTTGTTTACAAGGGAATGTGAATTCAGGTTAATTTCTTCCATTCATGTTTTAATGGAAGATTACATGAAATGATTACATTGTCAGTTTCATTGTTAGCACAAGTATTTTCTTTCAAGATTTGGAAGATCACAATAAATGTGTTGTCAGATTCTGTTGTTTTCTCACTGCTAGAGAACCGTTCCTCATACTCATTCTGGGCAGCTTTTTCTATTTCAGCTGTTTATAATATAAATTCTCTGGTTCTCTTTCTTCACGTATAGGTTTTAGGAAGTTACATTCTAAGTTAAGCATAAAATCATTTTCATAGCTCCAAGGCACTGAGGAAGTGGGAGTCTTTGGCTTTTTGCTTCTCCCCCCCCCCCCCCCAATAAAATATTTGATTTGGCATCATTTCACCACCTAATGAGCCTGCTGTTAGCTTCGACAACTGTTACTTTTCTCTTCCTGCCAAGATCGAGGATAAGTGAAGAAAATAAACTGCATAATTATCTAGGCATAATCTGTGTAGAAACATCCCATGTCTGTGAGATGTTCCTAATTAGATTTGATGCTGAGATGGCCCAGTTGCAGAAGTGGAGGAGACTGTGCTGCCAAAGGCAAGAATCACTTTGAGAAGCAGGTTGTTCCCAGACGTTTGTTTTCTAGAAGCTGCTGGGTTGATAGAAGTGGACATGACTGAAGAGAAGAAATGGGATGATCATAAAGTTCTTCAGCTTTTGAGCACATTCACCTTAATTGTATTACCTGCTCTTATGGGGAAAGACTTGAGTGTCATTTGATTAACAGAAAGTGGAGTCTGCTTTCAGAAGAAAGATTATCTGGTGATGTTCTGTGGGGTCTCTTACAAGGTTGAAAGTGAGGGATAACGTAGCAAAGGTAATATTGACCTGAAAGGGAAAAGTATAGTGGAAACTGAAACTAACAACAGGAAAAAGATACAGAAGAGGCAGAGAGGGGTAAAGGTAAACAAATGGGAACTAGAAATGTCTGAAGAGTGGAAGCATGGGAGAGATTGCAAGTAAGAATGAAACGTTTGAAATGGTAGTATAAGAGCACAAACTAATGGAAGGATGAGGGGAGTGTTCTCATTTGAGCAGCAAAAGAGGGTGCCTTTAGCAGTGGGATCTTGAAGGATTTAAGAAGGGAAGAACTCAGTATTTAAGCTTTTTTAAAGGGCAAATTCTTGTTATTCATACCTGAGTCATCATATTTGTAGGTGCAGCTTTGGCTGTAGTTGGCAATAATTTGGATAGTCAAGCCCTGGCAGATCTTGCAGGCATCCTGATGTTACCACCCTCTTCTGCCTCCACCACCCTTTGCTGAATTTCACACCATGCAAAGAAATTTGTGCCCACTCCCAGCTGCTCTAGTGCAAAAGCCCAGCATCAGGTGTAAAGCAGTTGATGAAGACTGGTTTGAGCTGGGATGCTGGCATCTTGAGATGTGGGCACTTATCCCTGCAGGGAGTCTGCTCAGGGGTTGGCAAACAAAAAGAGCTGAACAGAGAGCTGGGTGCTATAACACCACAGACTACCCAGCTTGATCTGGCAGGGCTTGCCAGGCAAAGCCTTAACACCCATGGAGCCCTCCGTTGTTTTCAAAGTCATAGACTTTGACATCAGAGTGCCATAAAGTGGTGGGACCAGTGTTTCTTCACTCCCTGAAGATTTGCCTTTAGACTCTTACATATAATGTGAAACATAAACCTGCTGGTGCCTGTGGAATAACCTCTGGGCTATTTTGAGGTTTATGAGGACATTTCATCATTCATTCTCATGTTTTCTTCAGATGTTAGACTTCAAAGGGAAAATATCAGGATAGACCAGGGAAAAAAAAGGAAGATAGGAGTAATAATTTCCAGGACAGAGTAAATCTTCTTTAACTGAAATTGTTAGTGTCCACAGAATACTTATAGATATATTCCTTGGTGAACAGCTTAAAGGATGATGCACTTCACCTATTTATGTCTTGTCCTACAAGATTGCAGATTCCTTGAACAATGTATAATTCATGTCATCTTTTCATTACCCAGGTTCTCTTAGACTTGATCCAGTATGAAAACATCGTTGTAAAGAGAGCATTGAATTTTGATAAGCCTTTCCTTGAGAAACTTGGCATTACCTCAGTCCCTTCATGCTACCTGATGCACCCTAATGGGTCTCATGGATTAATTAACAGGTAAGTAGTTATCTCTCAAGGAATATGGGGATGTCCACTTAAGCTATAAGAGCAGTTTCCACAGCTTGCTTTCATACAAAGGAAATTGTTCTATAACCTTCTTTTGCGTATATATAGTAAAGTTTTGTCCTGACATGTAATCAGTACATCATACTGACTGAGGTTGTGTGTTACCTGTGTTATTAACAAGAGACATAGTACGATGTTACAGCTTTAACCTATTACTGTGATGCTTCTGAAAGGAAAACACTTTGGAATAAAAGTGGAAAAAAAAAATTAAGTATCAAAGTTCTTAAGAAAGCTTGCTTCTAAGTCAAAATACTTTTTCCTTGTGAACTTAGCCTGTAAGGTGAGCTGATAGGATCTTATTTTGGATAGGATTTCAGACCACTAATCCAAATGATTGCTATTACTGTATCTAAATAGAACATGATTTGATTTCACTTTGTAGCAAAACATAACATGCTACACTAGGACTGTGAAACATGCAGCAAAGTGAATATCTTATTTTATAAATACACTAATTTGCTTTGGATATTCACTTAGTCTGAGATGAAAAGTAATCTTTACTTTGTCCATTTATATGCAGTTTGAAGCCTCTACGGTCTTTCTTTTCTTCGTATTTAAAGTCACTGCCAGGTGTAAGAAAGAAACTTCTTTTGCCAGTTCAGCTGCCTGTTCAAGAAAACAAAGAGGAGAGTACAGAAACCAAGGTGTGGAAAGAGTTCGATAAGTAAGTGATACCTTTGATTTTCAGATCAGTGCTTGGCTATTAATATTTGCTCGCAGTTTTTTTCTTGCTGCGTGGAAGGCTGTGCTCTCACTTACAATAAAATCCTAGATCACCAATTAGAATTGTAGGAAAACTTCAGCTAGTAATCATTGTCTCTGAAAAAATAAATAGTAACAAGCTGCAGGATTTCTGTAGGAAACAAGAATGCTCTGTGTGTGTAATACGGAAGCAGTGCCCACTGAAAAGTGCTTGTCAAATGCAAGTGTAATAGAAAATACTAAAGTCAGTGTAAAAGAAGTTTATCATAGTAAATCCAGTAAGGTTTATCACTCTTTCTCCCTCTTTGTTTGAGAGAATGGTGCAAAGGCTTTGCAAGGAGATAATCCTTCAGCATCCTTAGAAAAGATGTAGGACTGAGTGCTTCAATTATGTACTTATTTTCCTTTCATAGACACTATTGATGTCATCTTCTTGCAAGGACTATTATAAAATACTTTCCACAAAGCACTCTGTTATCAAAACAACTTGGTTAAATTGAGCTGCCTTCCAGCAAGACAAAATCTTGTAGATACGAATCTCCAGCCCAAGTATCTTCTAAATAGGATCCCTTGGGAGAACCTTATGCATTCCTATGGATTTTTACTCCCAAATCTTTGTTCGCGAAGTCAAGCCATGATGGATTTTTATTTAAGAAAGTTGAAGCAGAATTTTGCTGGGTTTTAAGATTTGAGTGAGTACCTTCTTAATTAAGGAAATAAACTCATACGAGTCTGTAGTTTGAGTTTATAAGAATATGGATTATTCTCTATTTTAATATGTTTCTTCCTGCATGTTATTTGGGGGGGGGGGGCAGGCGGTTTCGTGAATGATAGTTGGTTTTAATTGTTTGGGTTTAGAGATAATAATGCTGCTGAACTCAGTACTAACACTATAACTATATGAACTTCTGTTTGTTCAGTTACAGTGCTCTGTCTCATACTGTCTAAAGTTTGTACTCTGAAAAGCATTAAAGGTCAGGTGCTTTACCTGATGTGTTTGTAGTTTGTAAAGTGGTTTTTGTTGGTATCTTTTTTAAAATGAAGATACTTGGTTGTGAGAAGGAACTCTTTAGAAGATTTGATTTGGTTTACATGCTTTACTTTTACCTGTTCTGAGGTACCTCAGTCTGTCTTAAGAGCTGGTGTGATTAAAATTGACTTTTAGGCAAAGAACCTCCAGTAAAACTGCTGCATTTAGGAGAGGATTTCTGGATTCAGTCCTTTCCAACACTGTTTGCACTCCTGCTCTGTGTATAATCTACTTTTGTTTAACAAAAGAAACCAACTTCAACAAAAGTCTCCCTTTTTTCGTAGCATGTAATTTTTCTGTTTGTGGTCAGGCCTGAAGAGAAGCTGTAATTTCTTTACGCCAGTTATTCCCTTACTGAAACGTCAGGGTTATAATTGCATTACAAGGTAAAGCTGGCTGGGAGGCAAAAGTTTACTCAACTATAAAAGAAATTCTTGTGTGTGGTGATGCTTCATTTGTCTGAGCTGTGAACAACATGACATAAAATTACACTTTTCAGAGTGTATGGTGAAACTCGTTGAACTTGACATTCACCCACCGAGCGCCTGAAGCAGCCACTGTGTCTTCCCATGCTGGTGTAAGATACACTGCAATCACCGTGGAGTGGCAAACGTGGAGGTTTTAATGACACCCACTATATATCAATTTTACCTTCATGACTGGTGAGAAAATGAGCGAAAGAAACCTGCCACTTTCTAACGTTATATATGTGTCTTTCAGAGCTAAGCTGTACATGGCTGACCTTGAATCAGGATTGCATCACCTGCTCAGGGTAGAGCTTGCTACGCACAAGACACTTGAGGGAGCTGAGCTAAAGACCTTCAAGGACTTTGTTACTGTCTGTGCCAAGGTATACACTCCTAATCTTTGATTATTTGTATGAATAAAGTGACTCTAACATAAAATTTATTATGTGACATAAGTCTCTCAAGATGTCTTTCACAATCCTTAAGTATACCCTTCCTCACTAGCTTGAAAAGAGTTTTGTGGGTTTCTTCAAATTCTTGAGTTAGTCTGTGTTTTTCTGACACACTTACAGGGTTGAAATGCATTTTAATTTAATCTCGGAGCGCTTGAAATTAAATAAAGCTTAAGTAGTCTGCACCATATTGAATAAACACTGTAAATATAGTCCATTTATCAGATTTTCAGGGTAAGTAGCTATTGCAACTGGGTGGGATTAGAAACCCCTTTGTTTTTCATTCTTGACTTTTGGATTTCGTTAATGCACACTTGACAATGGTGTTTTATTTAGAGATAGTAGTAACTTCTGTCTATATTTTTAATATAATTGAGGTATTGCATTTAATTAATTGAGTATTTTAAAATAATTGAGGTATTGTATATAATTGACTATTTAAAGATGCTTACCTATTACATTTGGGTGAAGGGACAATCTATGTAATGTGACTTGAAAAAAATCAGAATAATATAACTTTATAATATCAGCCTATGTAATCACCAATGTCTCTTCATAATTACTGAGCAGCTAACCCTTTGTTTTATTTTAAAGAAAGTGAATCAACAGCTATTTGAGGCAATAATAAGGCCTATGTGAATTATTTCCAAATATCTGGATTTATCTGAAAATCAGACAGTTTCTTGCCCCTGCTGTGGCCATCAGAAATCTCTAGCTGGCCTCATTTCTTTAAGAAAGTGTGGTAGTAATCTTTCCATCATATTATCCCTAAAACATCCTCTGTGCTTCCTGATGGCTCCTGGCCAGCTGATGTCATTTGCTTCCCTGGCTATTAGTGCGTAAGTGGGGAATGCTCTCTTTAAGTGGCACACTCGTCTCCAGGCTGCCTTACACAAGTGGGAACTGCTGTTGTCGTGGAACACTTGCACTTCTCATTCATGATTCTCAGGTGTTCCTGTTAAGCAATGTTTATACTATCCTCTTTTTTAACAGCATTTATAGTGATGGTAAGTCCTACACCAGAGAGGTCTCTGATTCCCTACTTGGGGAATTTCCACTGTTGTACATTTAGGGTTTTTTTTGGCAACCAGTGCAGAAGTCCATTGGTTTCTGAATCCTTGATGAGACCGTTACGTATCTGAGATACTGTACAACTATTGTCTTTTAGATATTCTTTTAGATAGTAGTACATGATATTCTGGGGGTCCTACAGAAGTAAATGTAATGATTGTATGCAGTTCAGAGGTGTGCTGGTTTATTATAGACTATTTAAGGGTCTCTGAACTCAAACAATGCACAGGGCCCCTTGTGTTAGATACAGTAGCAAAAGGGAGTTCCTGCCCGTTTGTGTGGTATCAAGTAAGCAGTCTTTGAATTGGAAATACTATCGATAGTTGGACATTGACTGTGGAGTCACTGCCATACGTACAGCACTTTCTGTCATAAATTGCTTTATGTATTTAATGTAGCAGGCACAGGGACTTTTATTTCTCCATCTGTTAAAATAGTGCTCCCTCTGGAAGGATACTTAGAGGATAGTACGCATACTCCACTTAATTCTATAGTAATTACAGCCACCATTAAAGCAAAATACAATTTCTAGTGTGAAGTAATGATATTACCACAGATTTACAGTTTCTCACGCTCATCTGCCAGGCTGTGACTTCTTTAAATTGCAGGTTAAGGAAGTCACAGTTTCCAGATTGCTTCGGAAATCACTGTTACACACATGAAAGGAAAATGCTCTTCTAGGTAACCAACACCTACCTTTACAGATACCTGAACATAAGTTTTAGGAGAACTAATTTCTGTGATTACTCTTCCACAAGTGAGAAGGACTTCAGCGCGTCTGATTCACTGGGGTCTGATGCTCCATTCTGAGCTACACACAGAACTGAATTACCTTAATCTGAACGCTGTGGAATCTGCCAAAAGTTGCTCTGTCATTTCTGCCTGCTTTTGAGTAGCTTCATTTTACTAGTTAGCATTTTGTGCCTACAACTTGTTACATTTTGTAAGCAGAAGTCAGTGTGAGATGGCTTTTTACTGAAAGCAGATCAAGTAATTAATTTGCTCACAACAAAAGAAAATCTGAACCATTTTAAAGGCAGGAATTAAGGCATTTACATCAAGATGAAAGTGTCCTGCTGGTAATGAGATTTGTGCTTTAAAATATGGTGTTTTCTTCCTTCCATTTTCTCAGCTGTTTCCTGGCCGTCAGTCTGTGGTGAAGTTGTTAGAGACCTTGCAGGAGTGGCTGGTGAGCCTTCCATTAGACAAAATCCCTTATGATGCTATCCTAGATCTTGTCAACAACAAAATGCGGGTAAGCTGTTCCTAGTTTTTCCAGCATAAAATACAGCATTAGTAAAGGATAAGATTCTGTGTAAATCTAAGACATCACTTACTGATGGCCCCTCAGTCATAATGGACTTATAAGCAGGTTAAAATGAAAATGAAGGGAACTCATTACCAGGAAAAAAAATCCACATGAAGGAATTTATATGAGAGAATTGACACACACAATCCTGGTTCAGTTTAATGAGGAGCAAGCAGTCACTAACATGGACACGTTCCTGATGGCAGCTTCAAATCCCACAATGTTCCCAATGGATATTTTTGAGTTGCCTTTGCTTGTTGTGCCAATCAGCAGGATTCTCATGGTGGTCAGAACTGAAGTGATGGGAAATTTACCCCCTGAAATGAGATTTATTCCTGAAGAGTTTCCCCAGATTACTCCTTAATTTCCTGACACAGTAAAGGCTGTGCTAGGGGTCCTGCCTCACTTCAGTAACACAAAGCTCTGTTTATGGCCATCTTCGTACAGAAGTTAATGTAAGTCTGTCTTCCCATGAAATAGGAATTGCTATCCAAAATTTGGAAGTCTTCCCTTTGTTCAGGAAGCAGGGAGATAAGCCTCAGAAACTCAAATCTTGCACTGGATTTTAAGTATAATGACAAAATAATGGTTTTGTTTTAAGAAGAAATAATAATGTATTCTGCATCTTCAGAATTTACCCTGTAAGTCATGTAAATCTTGCTGAGTAGTATGGAATATTTAATGTACCCAGGGAAACTGTAGCCCTGACAGTTTGCAGTAGTATTTTTGTGTGTTGTGTTCGTACTGTGCTTAAAAACAAATTTACAAGTTAAGCTACTTAATTCTGTCAGACTAATCAGGCATTCATGGTGTGCCTTTTAGTAGGTCTGGCATCAGTGACTGTATGTTGTCTATCTAATATATTTGTGAGAGGCATGAGTTTTATAATGGTGCATTAGAGTGTCTCAGACTTAAGGATGGCTACAAGCTTAAAATTCATTTGCCTTAAGCATGAATTCATTAGCAACAAGTGCAAAGAGTCATTTACTTTATTCTCAGATCACCTCAACTTCAAGGTAGGCTCAGATGTGACTGCTGTTACATTCAGAGGCACGTTTATGGCCCAGAGCTGTCTGTCTTACTTACATCTCTCTTTCAGATTTCTGGGATATTTCTCACCAAGAAGGTTCAGTGGGTTGGGTGTCAGGGCAGCAGGCCCGAGCTGCGGGGTTATACCTGTTCCCTCTGGAAGCTGTTTCACACCCTCACAGTGCAAGCTGCGCTGCAGCCAAAGGCTTTGATAAATACAGGTAAGCAGCAGTTTTGTGGGACACTCGAAGGAAAAGACAAATATGAAAAAACAAAGTCGTGCTGTGCAGTAGAAAGAAAACGGATTAGAGCAAGTATGTTAGTCAATACTCATCAGTGGAGGCCAGTGGCTTTCAGGTTTGCACCAGCAGAGGTCAGAGCAGAGCTTCACTGCAGCAGGAGGCTTCAAAGAAAGCAGGTCAGTTTGTCCTTGCTTGGAAAGGAGGTAAATAAAGTGTGTGGCCCTAAAGGTGTGAGCAATAAGGCAGAAAAAGGAGAGAATTTCAAAGGAAGAAATGTTGGACTACCTGAAAAGGGAGGCAGGTTGTTCAGGTTACTTGAGATTACACTGCTAACTGAATTTGAGGAGAATGAGATTGAACCATACAGTTTAGCAGCTGTAAAAGGTACACAGCCATTAGCCAATCCTTCTGTAATATTATTTCTTAAATAGTGAATGTTGTGGCTGTTTGGGGTTTTTTCAGCTGAGTGTACTCAGTGACCATTAATGTCAGCACTCCTTTGCCAGCACTCAGTAAAATTGCTTATTTTTAGACTTCAGCATCTTGTGAAGCAGTGTTTATATTTGGGTGATGATTCCTATGTAAGAAACCTGCTGGACATATAATCTATTTTCCTCACACGATGGAAACAGAATTACTAATGCTAAAGTATTGGCTTTCATATAGAATCATAGAACAGTTAGGGTTGGAATATGATTTTGTTCTTGCCAGGATAGTGCTTTGTTTGGTTATTGTTCTATTTAGTTTTCATATAAAGGCTTTTAAACATCTTTTCCAAGGAATGTAAGGATGCCAGATGGACTGCTGCTAGATCATAAAATTCAGAAATTTGCCATTTGTCAGTTACTGACTGTATGATAAAAAAAATAATTCATTATTTCAAGTTATGGATGCCTGCGTTTGCCCAGCATCACTTGTAATCACAGTGAAAATCTCTCCATTCTTAATATTGAAGCTTCTGCAGAAGAAGGGTTTTTATGGCTAGCTAATCATGCTGTTATTTTTTGTTTCCCTTTTGCATGCCTTTAATTTAGTACTGTGCTCTGCCTGGTGAGTTTGGGGGTTTTTGTGCTGGATGACATACTAGCTCTTCAACAGGATCATGCATAAGTTAAATTTCCCCTTTAGTCCCAATTGCCAAAAGTTTTCTAATTAAATCTAAAAACGTTCTTAATATTTAACCATACAAAATTGCATCTTAAATTGCTGCCGTGTTTTGAGTGTGAGCTCTTGTCAGTCTGAAGTTAAAAATACATTGTAGAACCTGAAAACTCTTTGGCACACTTAGCCATCGATTTAAATCGGGGCAGATATGTGATGATCACTTCTTATGGCGAAAGAATTGGGTCAGTCTGAGACTGTCGGATTATGTCTTGGGAGGTTTTCCTCTCCTTATTGCTTGTTTAAATCCCATCTACTAAAAAGCATGATGTACTCCCTAATCCTTCCCACCACAGGTAGGGTTTTATGGTTCTTGTCCACTTTAAAGATTAGGGTTACCCTGAATTGCAGTAGTTTGGGAGGAAAGAGAAAAGGAGGATTACACGATGATACATGGCAGATGTTAATAGAAGATTCATCTCTGGGCTGATAAAAGAAAAACAAACAAAATGAGCCATTTTGCAATTGTTTGTTTTCTTTTAAAGCGACTGTGTTTTTCTTGATAGTTTCCTCTTCTGGCAGCATCTGGCAGGCAGAGGGAACCTGCTGGGGCTTTCTCCATCGCGTGTTTTTATTGGTTTATATTTGACATGTTCCAGTGTGGAACGGTGTAATGTGAACCTGCTCAGCATCAGCGAGTCCAAAGGAACTCTGAACAGAACCACTTGCACCTGAGGATGTATAAAATCACTGCAGAAATCTATTCCTGAGCATGCTTAATTGTATGAAATATTGGTTTAGGTAATAGGATCTGTTAGTGTGAATAAGACAGGCTTGTGGGGTTTATAAAAAAATGATCTGGATTCCGTTTAATCTGTTGCTGAATTTCAAAGCAAAATGAATTGTCAAAGAGTGTCACATAGCACAGGAGAACAAATAAAACTGAATTTGTGTATCAGTCTGTTCCTCCACGAGGAGGTTATTTGCCAGTAGTTACTTTCGGTGTGTTTGTTACTGGTTCTTTCTAAATATATGTTGTAGTACATGGTAAAACTGTTCTGCCTGAAATTCAGTTCAACTTTCCAAAATTATTTTTCAGCCTTTCTTTTGGTACTGTAATTTAATCTGCTTTAATCTCATAGCTTTTATTACACACACCAGTTCAATCACAGATATTGAATATCTGAGTAGAGATTTTTTGCCTTTTCTGATTTCTTTTTGGCTTTAAAAACTTACTTTGCCGCCATGGTTAAGAATATAACGGCATTGTTCTAAATAAAGGTGTTTGACAATCTTCATGCATCTCTTAGATAGAAGACAGAGAAATACTCTGATAGTTTTGAATGGGTTTTGTTGAGGATTTTTAACCCTTCCGAAAAATAATGCATGTACAGAGGGGATATGTGTTACCAACCTGTTTGTTACTCACTGCCAGAACAGAGCAGTGAGCAAAGCACTGCAACCCTTTACTGCAGAACCTATGAAACCCACGTTGTAAATTGCTCATGGTAGAGCGTTCAGCTGTGCGAGTTGGTAATTTGATCAATCTGCATCATAAAACGTGTTTAGTTTGACAAGTGCATGTTCCTGGTAACATATAGTACATTCGTAAACACATTTGGGCAGAATTTACTAGGTCAATTAAGCATGAATCAGAAAATCTGTGTGATGGAGATGAAACCATTAAGATTTCAATGAATTATATCTGGTTCTCGAATCACTTATTGATGTAGGTACTATCTGCTGCCTCAGTAAAGGCCCAGAACAGAGCTCTTAATCTGTGAAGACCTTAGCTTACTTCTGAATCAAATAAGGGTTCTTTTGCATTGTCTTCAGTGTGAAAGTGCATTATAGAAATAAGAATGTTTTTGTATTTATTTTAGGAGGAATTCCTGAGTTCCTCATGAAAATTCAGATGCTGATAAGTAGCTGTTATGTGTATTCATTCATAGTAACTGTAATGAGATTCTGGAATTCTGTAATGCTTCAGAGTTATGGAGTAACAAACAGATAGCACAGGCACCTTAGGAAATAGTTACCAGAGGGGTTTTGACTCTTGGTTTTCCAGTAGCAAGGTCACCATAACTTTAATGCTTGCGCATTAAAGCAGTGAGCGTAAATGCAATGGTGAATGCATAACATCAGTATTCATTTAGTTATTGGGCAAAATAGTGTAGAAAATCTCTACTTCCACATGATTTGTGTGAAGTAGAGGCAGCGTGGGCTTTGCATGGTTGAACATTTCAAAATGCACTGTGTTAATGGGCTTCTGAAAAAGCAATAATATCTGAGTTTCATTTAGCTGAGTTTCATTTAGCTAACTTTGTCCCCCCTCAAATTATAAGATACTCCTTGAAGGGAGAGATTTCACTGTAAGGAACACTTGACCTTTAAGTCCTATTAAAATGTGTTCTGCATAGCTGAACACAACTGTATAGACTGTGTTAGTACATATGGGTATAAATAGCTACTTCACATTTTCAGTAACACTGTGTTTTGAAACATACCATTTGAGACACTTTAAACTCTACATCTTTTTGCCAAATAATTTGGTTTCTAAATGTCCCACCTCAACTACTTGGGCAATATTATGTATGTATTTTGTTGGGGAAGGGTATTTCTTCTAAGAACTGCATGAGGCTTTTAACCCCACTAATATCTTTGTCTTGATTTAACCCCTCTAATATCCTAGGTCTTGAAGACAATCCCCAAATAGTGCTTCAGGTCATGCGGAGGTACATTCAGCACTTTTTTGGATGCAAGGCTTGTGCTCAGCATTTTGAAGAAATGGCTAAAGAGTCCATGGATTCCGTTAAAACCCTGGACAAGGCTGTTCTCTGGCTCTGGGAGAAACACAACGTTGTGAATAACAGGCTTGCAGGTATGGAAGACCTTGCTTAGGGAAACCCACCGAAGGTAGCTGTGTCCAAAGGACAAGGCTGTGGCATCTTATACAATGTGGTTTATATCTGAACAAAGAGATACGCAACTTAGGCTCTGTAACATGAGTTTAAAACAACAGTCACTGTTGTAACAGCCTGACATTGCTTTATTAAATATTGACTTCAAAAGACTAACTCCACATTTACATCAGTGTTCAAGAAAGGGTGCTTGTGTCTGGAGCAAAACCTCGAGCATCCTAATCAGCTATAACTAAAAACCAGAATGGTAACCTTTGCATGGGTGAGAAATACACCCTTGAGACACAGCTGTGTTACTAGAGGATAGTGTCTCCTGTAATATATAATGAAAACTCCATCATTCTTGGATACTGTTTCTCCTGAACTTTCACCTGTTGCTTGAGGAGAGGATTTTTCTGGAGTACAAATCAAAGCCTTTTCAAAAGGAGCAGTACAGTTCAGCTACTTTTGGGGGGATAAAAAATAATTGCTTTTCTTTATGTAAGCATTTAACTAGATGATAAAACCTGTCTTCATTTCACTGTGGAGAGATGCTGCATAGAAAATGATGATAATTGAAGAGGAGACTTTCTCAGGATAAAAGAGCCTAAGCTATTAGCAGATCAGCAACAGAATGAAGTAAAATTACTGTATGAAGCAGATCTGTTCCCCCACTAGATTGCTCTGTTTTCAGTTAAACTAAAAGTACTGTTAAAATACTGGTTCTATTTAATCCGTTCTATTATGGGGATATCAAGTAACTAAAGCACTAAAGAAAATTGGTTTCTGTTTGCACTAAATCCCTGTCTGCTGTTATGGATCTGTATGGTGTAGCATTAGTTACAATTTAAATATGCTATATTGTGTTTATATTATGGTTATGCTGAATTCCCAAGATTTATGAAGTATTAAATACTGCTGTGAGTATAAACAGTTTGTCTCCTCTCCTCCAAGGAGAAAAAAGTAAATGGTGAGGTATTAAATAAAAACATCCCCTAATGTTTATTTCTACTGCCAGGTTGAACGTGGAGAAAGGTAGTCCTGTTGACTTGGAGTTGCTAAGTAGTGGAGCAATATACTTATTTAGAACATTAAGTTATTGGAAAACTCGTATGGATATTGATTTAGATGATGCAGCAGCCAGCTAAAATACCCTTTTAGTAAGAAGTAGAAACATACTGGAATAAATAATAATGTTAAATTATGCTCTTTAAGTTTGCTAAAATTTCTCTTTGGGACAGTGATAGATTTTAATCCTTAAAAGCTGCATCTGATAGTTCTGGTAATATTATATAGCTTTCCATGAGGAATGATGTTTGACTGGTCAATGAAAACACCTTGGCACAGCCTTCAAGTGTAGGTCATGCGATTGCTGTATATGGCTCTGTTGCTTCAGAATGTGCAGGATTTATGGCATTCGTCTCTTTGGCAGGAAAACATGAAGTACAGCAAGTTTTCAGTTTGTAATCTTACCATGTTTTGTTTCTACTTTCTCTCCTGAAACAAATTGATTTCTGAGTGATCTTTAAGATACCCCGAACACAGATGTGTTCTCTTACTTGCAAATATCAAAGAGACAAATATTAGAAAGAATTCTTTGAATCCTTAAACAACATCTTGTTTAAGAAGCCCAAAGTTTCTTGCCTTAATAATAAAATAAGAACTTAAACTTACCGAGATAGTTTAAGCTTTAGTGTACTAATAACAATCAGTTAAAGAAATTAGCTTGGGTTTTTACCAGGTAGAGATTTGTTCTAAAACTGCATTCATCCACATTTTAAAGTGTTACTTTTTAGAGCAGTGCAACACTAGCTGCAGCATTCAGCTCTTTGCTGTCAAGATGGAAAGGTGACCAGAGCTATGAGCAGCCAAAAAGTTAAAACTGGATGTAGTTCAAGGCAGCATTATATGTGTAAATGCTAAAATGCAAGCTGAAAAATACATCTTAAATATGATAATGGCTTTTAAAGTCCTGAAAAGTGTTTGCTATAGTAATAATACAAGCTATGAAAAAGGCAGCCAGGCTGGAATGGTTCGCAATATAGAAACAGGAAAATATCTGCAAGTCTTTGGCCTTGAAACTGCTGCTGCAAACCAAGCTTCGGGATTAAAGAGCAGCGAGTGCAGAAGAGCAGTTTGTTTTGAACTGTAATTCAAGTTAACCCCTGCACGGCCCAGATGATGGCTTCATGCCTTCTAAAAGCAGCAGTGGTAGCATCTTGTTGTATTTGAAAGTGGATGCAACAGCTGAGAGAAGAGGAAAGTAATTGTGATTTAGTGTTTGTGTTCTGAAACAAGAATCAACACTTCAGAACATGATCGATGTCCGTAAGGAAGCTTATGAAAACACTCTCTCTGGTTTCCAGGGAAGGTTCAGCTTTCCTCGTTCATTCCCTCCTGATACTGTTATTTTCTTCTCCCAATTAGGTGCTTTGACTGAAGATCCAAAATTTCCCAAAGTTCAGTGGCCAACTCCAGACATTTGTCCTACGTGTCATGAGGAAATCAAAGGATTGCACAGCTGGAATGAAGCCCAAGTTCTGCAGTTCATGAAGTATCACTACAGCAGTGAAAATATTCTGTATAAATACACCGAAAGCCAGACAGACTCCAATGAAACTGAACAGGGGGATACAAGGGAGGGGAAGGACAAAAGCCTACAGAAGAAACCAGGTGGAAACAGAGAAAATAAGATCCAGGATAAAGAAAACGTACTAGGTTCAGAATCTAAGGTGTTAGATAAACTAATAGCAAATCATGGACCTGTCAAAGATAGCGATAAAAGCGCGGTTCGATCAGCCATCCTTAAAGAGACGAAGCAGGCCGTGTCCTTCTTGGGGATTGGATTTTCCAACATAGACATGAGCCTGTGTGTCATTCTGTACGTAGCCTCATCCTTGTTTCTGATGATAATGTACTTTTTTTTCCGGATGAGATCCAAACGGTGGAAAGTGAAGTACTATCGGTCATCTGTGTAGAAGGTTATATTGGAAACAACCTTGTCATTGTACGTGGCTGTTCAGTACCAGATACAGCTTTAATATTTATGATCAGGGATTTTATATACAGTATTCCTTGTTTCAGAACCCTTTCTTCCCAGGTCATTTCACAAGTGTTCTAGCTTAACGTAGGGAGCTCGCTGTAGGAACCCTCATCGTTCAGAGGCACACAGTGCTATCGTGAAATGTCCACTGAAGGAAGCATTGCATTTGTCAGCTGAGATTGTTCCGTGACTTGCCACCTCCATCCTTTACTCGTTTTCAGAGTAAACACTGCATTGTGCAATCAGCTGCGCCTGCTTTAGAAGGAAATTGGATATTGTTTTGTGTGCTTCAAGTCCGGTAGTTGTTGGGTTTAGGTCTTTTTAATTTATCCGGAGGTGATTTTACCTCCCAGAGTACTGAGCGGTGATGCTGTTACTTTGGCTGCTTCATTTGGAGAAGCCCAAATTCAGATCTTTTTCAGGAAGCAAGTTCTATTCTGATTAAATCAATTCCAAACCCTCTGATGTGATGTTCTGAAATATTGTTTATACCACATGTTTGAAGGAGAAGGCACTACGTGTCCAAGTAAGTCTTCCATTCTCTTGTGCGTTCCAGCCAAGGCTGTGTCTGTCTCTGCTAGGATGAGAGTTTTAGGGCAGGTTGTATCTCAATAAGCAGCCTGATTCTGATTGCTAATGCTGTCATCCAGTTTAATGGAGTTTATATGAAGGCAAAGACAGACTTGGACCCAGTGCTTCACTTCCTCCTCTATCAGATGTCTTAATGGAGCATTGGATAACTCACCTCACTCATTTATGAACCAGCAAAGTAGCTGAGCAATTTTTGTGTTATGCAGATGGAAGCCAGTTCTGCTCAACTGTAGAAAAGGGAAACAGGTTTTAGTGAAGGACACTGAGGTTTGCATCAGCAGGAACAAATTTAGAGATCGGGAAACACCGAGTTTCTTGTGATGTGGGATAACTCCAGTACAGCAAGGTAATTTTCTTCTTGTAAGGCAGTGCAAACACTTCAGTTCTGAGCTCTCAGCATCACCTGCTCCCTGTGACATGGTCTGTGCAGGACTTGGGAGAACAACCCATTTGTCTTGCCCTTCTGGTGGAGCACTGCTCTGCTTTCATCACGAAGGGGTTTACTCAGTCCAAGAGCTGCTCCATTCTGGGATGGGGCGGCAGTTGGGAATATGACAGTTGCCTTTACAGGGGTTAGAGAAGCCATGCATATAGTTATAAAATTACCATTCAGAATAGGAGTTCCTTTCTGATCCTGGCTGGGGGATAATTCACGTCCTGGATAGTGAAGTTTATAATCCTATCCAATGTAATTGAGCATGCTGGAGTTATCCATTACCTAATCTTTAGTTAATCCTAATAGGTTTTGGCCTCAATGTTTTCTTGTGGCAGGGAGTTCTACAGATTAATTATGTTATATAAAAAGGCTTTTCCTTTCAATTCTATATTTGCAACTTTTAATTAAATTGAATGTTTGCTGGCTCCCCTGTTACACAGGAAGGAATGAATAGTCCTTGGCCACTTTGTTGTATTTAGACTGTTAGTGTGTCCTCCTCAGATTTCCATCATAAGCCTTAGTATAGAAAGTTTAAAGCCTGTCCAGAATGGCCTAAAAGCACAAAAGCCCAACAGGGAGATTTTTCTCATGATTGAATCTTGTTTGTTCACTGAATGTTTCTGCAGCTTCCAGTTGGCATAAACAAAAGTGAGATTCAAAGGTTTACTGACCCTTGTTCCTCAAGTTTCTCAGAATAACACATAGACAAAGACATAACCTTCTGTGGTTATTGCACATGTGTGTCAGAGGGAAAAAGCATCTCCTTCACACGGTGCTGCTGGTCTGACATACATGGTGAGGTGCATGGGCAGTGCTGTTCTTAACCCATCTTCACTGTTCATTGCGTGCACCCGATGGCTCTTGCTCCTATGGGAGAAACCTGACTCCATGCTCTCTCCACAAGGCTGGAGGCCAGTTCCTGCCTCCAAGAGATGCAGGAGCACCTCTGATTGCTGCTGCTGCTGCTGCTGTGGTTGGATGTGACACTGTTTACTAAATCAGTGACACTGATTTAATACCAAAATGTGTCTGTGCTCTGCAAGGACACTTGTTCCAGGAGCGACTGTGGGTCTCTTTAGGAATGTATAATACCTGTAATTACAGCACCTGGGCTCGGGTATTGAAACAGTTTGTGGGTAACTAGGCAGAGGATGAAGCGATGTTGCTCAGTGCCACTCGCTTTGTGCAGGAATCCAGAGAGAGGGCCCAGGAGGAGGCTCATCAAGAGGAAAGCCCAGAGTTCCCAAACAGAGTCTTGAAAATCAGGCAGCTTTGAAGTGATCTGATGTGGGGAGATGCTGGTGTCAGCGGCAAGCGAGGACATTCAGCTTCTCAAACACCACCACAGCAGAAACCCCAAACCCCAGCACAGCCAGTATTGGATCTGGAGAGCTGGTCCGTTTGTGTGGGAGTGTTGAATTCCCTGCTCCCAGTGTTCGTGCATGTTTTGAAGTTGGAATCAGTCATTGCTGCTGTGAGTTAGAGCTCCTGCAAACACGAGTGTGTTGGCTTTGATTTGTTCTGCTGCTTTCCATCTATATACAAGCACAAAAGGTTTGCAGAGATGGTTTTGCCATTTGAACAGCAGCAGCTGTGGGCTTGGAATAAGGTGGGGGTTTTGTTACTCAACACCATTACTTTTGATGTTGCTGTGACCCTGCTGGAAATATGACAAAATGAACCAATGCTCAACCTGTCAGTGGTCTGGGTTTGTTTCCTTAGAGTGAAAAAGTACGGAGTTGGGATGTTAATATCCATATCGATGCTCTAACTGTATAGCCAGTGAACCAGCCAAGGTATTCACCTCACTGCTGGAAATGTCTTCTTGGGTTTGATTCTGGTTGTATGAGTCTTGGTTTGCTTGTTCTGATTTTCTGTGTTGTGGATGTTGTGGCTGCCCCATCCCTGGCAGTGCTCAAGGCCAGGTTGGACACAGGGGCTTGGAGCAAGCTGCTCCAGTGGAAGGGGTCCCTGCCCGTGGCAGGGGTTGGAGCTGGAGGAGCTTTAAGGTCCCTTCAACCCAAACCCGTCTGGGGTTCTGTGATCTTTATAATGACAAATTACATCCTTGTACATTGACTGTGGAGGTCTGTTGTGTCTGCTGGGGATGTGTGATGCTGCTTCACTGTGGGGAGTTATTGGTGGCTGCATCACAACAAAATGTTTCCTTTGAAAGTTCACCTCACACCTGCTCAGTCCTGGAGGCTGGATTTCGGAATCGGTTTGTTCCACGGGAGTTTCTGCCGCCCCGCTTCCCTATGGGGATCCACCACGCTGGGGGCAGGGGTATTTCCAAGGAGGGTTTCTTTGCGCATGGAGCCGCCTTTGTTCTTCAAATGTTTTTAAGGAGGAAGTACTAAACCTGCCTAGAGAATGAAAGGAGGCCTCTGGAATGTGCCAGGAAGAGAGGAAAGCTGCGAGTGCTGAAGGAACCTGATGGAGCTCTTCCTGAGGACTCCCAGTTTCAGCTATTCCTGCTCAGAACTGGCTGGGAGCTCCCATTCGCCAAACAGCCCAGGTGCATTGTGCAGGGCTGTGCTGCTTCCGCTGTTGGGATCAGTGACTGTGCCATCACAGTGACTTCAATGTTTTATTTATTGGAATTGGGTAACCGGGCGTTTTCACGTCCATTCTGGGTTGGTTCCTTGGGTTTTGCTCAGTCCCGTACCTCTGCAGTACCCCTCAGTACCCGTTTTGTACTGACCTGTAAACTAATGTGCTTGCTGGAAATAAACCACAACCATTTGGCACGTTTTGGCTCTTTACGTGTGTCCTCAGGTTCTGTACCGCAGGGAGAGCTGGTGTGCACCTCCCTTCCCAGCCATAGCGGTCCTGTCGTTTGGAAAAGCACCAGGAATGGGTAACCTTGAACTCCATTTCATTCACTGTTACCCCATAACTTCGCATCACTGAATGTGTGTGGCAGTGATGGACACAATTGGTGGTTCCTGACCCATGGGTTGCCTGTTTCTCTACACACACACACACAAATCTTCCTTTCCCTTTGCCTTCCATGCCCTTTGGCCAGGATGGCTTTAATGTCCACTGAGGCTTCTGAATCCTTCTGTGGCTTCATCCCTACTGACACTGAGAGGGTGGGATGCGTGACCTGGTAAAAGCACTGGTTATCTACCTGCTGAAGTACTCCAGGGTGTTGTTAGGAATCAAAAGGATTGGGAAGTGTAGGTCAGGACATTGGAAGCTGGGCACAGCCGTGCACTGCTCCAGAGCCATGTGCATTGGGCGGGATGGTTTAGTGTGAGCTGTCCCTGCCCATGGCAGGGGGTTGGAACTGGATGATCTTCAGGTCCTTTCCAACCCGAACTATTCTATGATTTCCCTGCTGGCCCGTGACCTTGCCTGGGAAGCAGTCACAGTCCCCTGGGGAGCCTGAGGAGTGGCCTCAGCACCCAAATCTCTTGAGGACAAACACAGCGGGGTAAAGGTGCCCTGTGCTCACCACCCTCAAAGGTACCACAGCTGCTGCCCCTTGTGACGTTGTGCTGGGGGCTGGCCTGGGCCCTCACTCCTGGATCCGATGCTCTGTAGGTGTGGGGCCAACGCGGGGTTGGGAGCTGGGGGCTGGTGAAAGTCGCGGTGCTGCGGTCCGGAGGGAGCATCTGTGCGTGCTGGGAGCTCCCGCCCCTAAGCTGCTTTTATTAATTTGTAATCCCCTGCGAGCAGGAGGTAAAGGGATTCGGGGATTAACGGGCTCACGGTAACAACCACAATTACCAGCTCCGGCTGCCTGGGGCAAGCGGGGCGCACGCACGGCGCTGTCCACCCCGGCACACGCACATGGGGAGACACAGACAGGCACAACACGGCCCTGGTCACACCGACGCCTTCACACCCACAGACACATGAGCACCCATGGGACAGTGTGAGCATCCCGGGGCCGACACAGGCACGCAGGCTACATGCAGGGATGCACGAGTGTGCACAACCCTGCACACACACAGATACCGCTGCAGCCGCGTGTGTTCTTGTCCCACACCCCCACGCGTGTTCCTGCACACCCGCATGCAGGTACACACACAATGCACACACGTGATGCCCGCCCCGTCCTCGGTCAGTGCCGTTAACCTCCTCCAGCCACAGGGCGCGGGTCGCCGTGGGTCAGGCTCTGGTCCTCACCGTTACCTCGCTGCTCATTAACTAATTAGTGGAGGGGGAAGAGCCCCCCCCGCCCATGGGTAGCGGGGGCAAACGAAACGCGGGCCCGGGGGATGCTCCCCCCCTCGACATCGATTCCCGCGGTCCCATCGCGCCGGCCACGCGTGGGACGTGGGGTCCATGCACCACACTCCCCCACACCCCCCCCCATCTCCTTCCGCTTTTGTGATGCTAAAGAGCCCCGCAGCGAACCGCGGCCCAGCTGCGGCCCGGCCCGACCGTCGGTGCCGCCCCCTGCCCGCCCCCCCGCGCCGGCCCCGCTCCGCCCCGGGCGGCGGCGGCCACCCCCCGCGCCGCTCCCTGCGCTCCCCTCCGCGCACCTCCGCCACTCCTCCGCATTCACCCGCGCACCTCGGACGGCGCCCGGCGCGCCCGCGGGGGCCGCGATGCTGCTGGAGCGGGTCCGCGCCGGCTCGGAGAAGGCCGCGGAGCTCTGCCCCTTCCCGCGGAGCCCAGGTGAGGGAAGGGGGGAGCGCGGAAACCTCCGCGTGCCCCGCTGGGAAGCGGCCCCGTCTGTGCCGGTTGCGCGCTCCGCGGGGCTCCCTCGGGGCGGCAGTCGGGGTTGGGTACAGGGAGGGAGGGCGGCCCGGCGGCACCGAGGTGTCCAACCCGCCCATCCCGTCCATCCCGGTCCGTCCCGTCCGTTCGGCTCCCTCCCGCTCTTTCCTGCCACCGGACACCCCTCGTTGCCCCCCGCACGCCGGCGGCTCCGGCCCCGTTTGTGTCCCGTCGGGTCGGGACTGGGGCTCCCCGGTAGCTCCCGTGGGCAGGCGGCGGCTGCCCTGGGCTCACGGCGCTGCCCGGCCCCGGCGGGAGCTCTGCCCGGCGCGGCGGCTGCTGCCCCCGGGTCCCGCCGCTCCCGCACAACGAGGGCAGGGAGGAAACGGGGATTTTGTGCCCGCGGACACCCCCTTCCTGACGGCGGGACCCCCCCGCAGCCCCCGCCCGGCTCCGATCGGGCTTTTTCCCCTTTTTGGGAAAGCTCCCGTTAATTCCTCTCCTAAACGTTTTTTCCTCCCGTTTAACGAACGGAGCCAGCACCGTCGGGGTGGGGAGAACCGCGCTGACCTCCCCTGGCGTATCCGGGGCACCGAGGGTCCTACGGGGGGTGACAGAGCCGGGTCCCGGGCAGCGGGTCCGGTTCCGGTGCGGGGCCGCCCCGGTTCTCGCCAGCATCGACCGCGGCCGACGGGGCCTTAAAAACACAACGGCGAGGAGCCGGGACGGGACCCCCCGAGTGCGGGGACCGAGATGTCACCGGGACCGAACCCCCGGGCCGGGCAGCTCCCGCTGTCGGGCCGGAGCCCCCCGTCCTGCCCGGTTTTGTCTTTCTGCGTCCCCGCGGTGCGGACACCGCAGCAGCCGTAGTTGCGCGTTTGACCCCGCGCATCGGGAGATGCTTTTGCTATGGGGGGGCCGGAGGCGACACCGCAGAAAGGGACCCCCGGGGGAAGGACCGACGCCAAAACGCTGCTTTCCCGTAGGACGCGACCCTCGTTCACGGCCCCGCGGTCCCCGAACAGGCTCCGTCGGGGCTCGGGGAGGCAGCGGGAAGGGAGCAGCGGGCGCACCGGGGCAGGGCTGCAGCAGCCGGGCCCGGCGGGGGCTCGGTGCCCGGGGCCGGCCGAGCCGCGCTGTGTTTTGCCCGGACCGGGGGCAGATCCCGAGTTTCGCGGCTCACAACGAGCCCGGGGCCGCGGCCGGCGCTTCCTCCCCCGCAGCCGCGGCCCTCCCGCCGTGCCCAAGCAGTTAAGGGGCGGCGGGAGGGACGCGCCGCCGGCCCGGGGGGATTAAATAAGCGCGGTGCCCGCCCGGCGCTTCAGACCCGCACCGGAGGGAGGGCTGCGGCTCCAAGGAACCCGCTTTAGTGAACTGAACCCCGGCAACGCAGCGGTGGCAGCGGCCGGGGATGGGGGACGCGGCACCGAACCGCAGCCCTGATGTGCGGGAGCCCGAAGGGGAGTGAGGCTGTTCCGCACCCCGGCAACGGGGCTGCGGGTGCGGGCTGGGGGGACCTGGGGGCCGCTGCTCCCGCACCCCGCGGAAGATGCGCCAGTGCCTGCGGCCCGTGTGAGGGAGCGTCCGCGGGGTCGCCATGCAGCGTAAGAGCCGCGGGCCGGGCTGCGGCGGGACCCGGCGGGGCTCTGCCGTGTTACCGGGCCGGTGCCCTCAGCACCGCCGTTGTTCGGGGTCGGTTGTTCGGGCACGGTGAACTGTTGAGACGATGAATGCCTGCAACGACATCATCCCCACCGCTCCCTCCGCGGGGCTGTACATCTCTCTGTGTTATATCGAGTTATTTTTATATATAGATGCTCTTACATCTTTATACAGCCGTGTCTATGTTTCTCTCCATCTGTATCTATACCGATATATCTATATTTATGTACCTCTATATCCACATTTTTACCTACCTATTTCTATGCCTACATACCGATATCTATATATTTATGTCCATATATCTTTACTTTTTTGTATTCTGGCTTCCGAATCTGTTTAGTTTTATACCTCTATTTCTCTGTGCACTTGTGTCATCTCTGTATCATCTCTGTTGGTGTCTGGAGGGCGGCGGGACGAGCCGACCGCGTTTTTATTTTGAGTGCAATCCTCGCGATTTTCGGTAGTTTCTTTCCCTCCCGCCGTTATTTGCGGGTGAATTTCTGGGGTGCAGGGGGGAGAAATAGAGAGCCCGGAATAAATAATTGTGCTGCAACTTGCCCGCGGCTACCGCGGTGGGCACGGGGGGGGAATTTCGTTCCCATCCCTTTCCTTCCTGCTTTCGCCGGTGCTCCCGGCTGCTTCCCCCGGGGTGCGCGGTCAACGGATTTGAACGAACACGAATCTTTTTCGCCCCAAAACGGGTTCCGGGGGGCGGCGGGTGACGGGGTTTGCCTCCCCGCAGAGATCCCGCTGTGCGCCGGCTGCAACCAGCACATCGTGGACCGGTTCATCCTCAAGGTCCTGGACCGGCACTGGCACAGCAAGTGCCTGAAATGCTCCGACTGCCAGACGCAGCTGGCCGAGAAGTGCTTCAGCCGCGGGGACGGCGTCTACTGCAAGGAGGACTTCTTCAAGTGCGTGGGGACGGGTCGGGCACGGGGAGGGCGCCGGGAACCGGGGCGGCGGCGGCGGCGGGGCCGGTTCAGCACCGCGGACAGCGGCGGGGCCCGGAGGGTTCAGCGCCGCGGACAGCGCCGGGGCCCCGCCGCGCTCAGCGGCCGCCGCTTGTCCCCCCCCGCTCAGGCGCTTCGGGACCAAGTGTGCCGCCTGCCAGCAAGGCATCCCCCCGACCCAGGTGGTGCGCCGGGCCCAGGACTTCGTTTACCACCTGCACTGCTTCGCCTGCATCGTCTGCAAACGGCAGCTGGCCACCGGCGACGAGTTCTACCTCATGGAGGACAGCAGGCTGGTCTGCAAGGCGGACTACGAGACGGCCAAGCAGAGAGGTACCCCCCGCCCCTTCCCTCCCTCACCTCCGAGGGCAGCAGGGAGCCGGCCCTGGGCCCTCCTGCCCTCCGGGACGCGCTCACGCACCGGGCGGGAGGGATGCTGGGGGGTGGCTGGCGGGGGTTCCTTCACCTCTAACTCTCCACGTGTCGGCAGAGGCCGAGTCCACGGCCAAGCGGCCCCGCACCACCATCACGGCCAAGCAGCTGGAGACCCTCAAGAACGCGTATAACAACTCGCCCAAGCCGGCGCGGCACGTCCGGGAGCAGCTTTCCTCGGAGACGGGGCTGGACATGAGGGTGGTGCAGGTGAGGGGGGCGGCCCTCGGACCCCTCCGGGGCTGCCCGGGCTGCGAGGGGGAGCGGCGGGGAGATGGGGCCCGTTCCGGCAGCGAGGGAGCTCCCCGGCCTGCCCCGCTTGCAGGTCTGGTTCCAGAACCGCAGGGCTAAGGAGAAAAGGCTGAAGAAGGACGCGGGGAGGCAGCGCTGGGGTCAGTACTTCAGGAACATGAAGCGGTCCCGGGGGACCTCCAAGTCCGACAAGGACAGCATCCAGGAGGAGGGACCGGACAGCGACGCGGAGGTCTCCTTCACAGGTCGGTGAAGGGGCTTTGCCCCGTGCGGTCCCTCCCCACGAGGCTGCTTTCGCCCCCCCGGTGCTACGTTAATAACCTCCAGCTATAACACAACGAGTGAAAACGAGCCCGAGGCGGGGGCGCGCAGAGCCGCGGGTTTCACCGCGCTGCGGCCCCGGCTGCCCGGTCCTGGCCGGGATGGGGGGGACCGGAGCCGCTGCAGCGGAACCTCCGCTCCTCCGGGGCTGCGGCAGCACGGACAGGGAGCAGCGGGAGAGCGGGGAGAGCTCCCGGGCAGCGCCGCGGGGGTTGGAGCCGCTGCTCGTGTTCAGCCCTTCCAAAGGGCTCCTGGAAGTACAGAACCCAGAGTCCGCAATCACTGAGCGCTAACGGGGGAAAGTGTTTGAATCCTTTTTCCGCCCTCTTTAAGGGGGTTCGTTTGCGTTAGGACTCCCTCCCAGCTCCGCGGGAGCGGTTACCTCTGCGCTGGGCTGTAAAAGGGAGATGCTGTGCACCAGGAGGTTTGTGCACCGAAGGGTCCCACCTTTGGAGCAGAGATTCCTGCTGACAAACCTAGGACCATGCCTACACCAGCACTTCTCACCCCACACCTCCCACCAGCATCTGGTCTGTGCCACCGCTGTGCCCAAACCCGTGTGTGTGTGCGCGCTGGTACTGGGAATACAGGAGAGCAGCTGAAGCACAGAACTGTGTGTGTATTCACACACACGTACGTCTATTACTTGTGGATCTTTATACACACACTTTGCACCCCAGCTTCTCCCTCGTGTTCCTAAAATCTATTTGATTTCCAACTCTGTTTATTCACACTGTGCATCAGCTCCGTTAAATAGGAATTCACACTAAATAACGACTAAACAGTGTTAAACAATTATCGCCAGCTTGGTGCCACAGACGGGTTTGTAGCCCCGCCAGCACAGCAGCTCCCGCTGCCCCTGACGAATGCAAACCGGTTTCGGTGGTAGCTTAAAAAATCCTGCTATTTCCAGCAGTGTTTTAAAGTCGTACAAATGCGTTTCAGCAGTCCCTGAGCAGGAGATCCCTGCTGAGATTTAGCGTCTTCTTCTCCTGAGCAATGGGGAGGTTTTCTTCCATCAATGAATGTTCAGGTAGCTCCTAAAAATGCTATCAAAATTCCAGGTAAACCTCACAGCCAAATAGAACTGCAGAGCAAAAGGTGCAAAGACGTGGAGCTCACATTCCCCTTTAAGGGATTATTTTTAAAGCACAGTCTCATATTCTAATATGTATTTTGGGGGGCATATTTTTAAAATCCAAACCATATCAGGTGATACACTCAGGAAAAATAATAATCCCATGGCTTTCTATGAAGATCTGTCAACACAAATGGGAATAATACAGAATTACAAGAGGGAAGTGCATGGATGCACAGCTCCCATCCATCTAATCTGTTTATTCCCAGAGCTTGCAGGAGTTCCCGTGCAAACAATGCCAGCCGTGGCCATTGCTCTCCCAGTATAACCAGTCCATTTCTCTTTCAGATGAGCCCTCTATATCTGAGATGAGCCATTCCAATGGGATTTACAGCAATCTCAATGAAGCATCCCCTGCTCTGGGTAGACAGGCTGGGACCAACGGCAGCTTTGCTCTGGATCACAGTGGCATCCCAGCACAGGACCAGTACCATGACCTGCGATCCAACAGCCCCTACGGGATACCCCAGTCACCAGCTTCCTTGCAAGCGCTGCCAGGCCACCAGCCTTTAATCTCCAGCTTGGTTTACCCAGACAACAGCTTGGGCATCATGGGACAAAGCGGACAGGGGGTGCCCCCATCCATGAGGGTTCTGGCTGGGAATGGACCCAGCTCCGACCTCTCCACCGGCAGCAGCGGGGGATACCCGGATTTCCCCGCCAGCCCGGCCTCTTGGCTGGATGAAGTCGACCACGCTCAGTTTTGATAGGGGGTTCATCACCATGCAGTGCAAAGGGAAAGAACTCGGTGCTGTAAAACGTCATCTGCCCCTGGAAATGAAGGAGGGACAAACTGGGACTGCTGAGTGGGGCAGGGAAGCATCAGGACATGGAGAGAGCGGATGCGCTTTTGGATGGTGACCCAAAGGCAGGGGCTGGAGCCCAGTAGGGAAGGACAGTTGCAGTGCAGTGACGGGCACATGGAGCGTCCAAGCCCATTCTTGTGTCTTTACTAAACACCGAGGCTTGTGCTTTACAGATTTGATATGAGGTATTTTGCTTTCTGTTGTCAGTGCATTCCCCAAAGCGAGGACTTGTTTCATCACCCATCCACATCAAAACCTTTTTAAGAGAAAATAAAGCCCTCATCCACGGTAAAAGGTGTGACAATGTCTATATTTCTATAGGAGAAATGTTAATAGTGAATCACATCAGAAACCCATGGTAGGAAACTGTTCTTCCAGCAGGTATTTTATATCCAATGCGGTATGTAATGTTTCATTTTGAATTTACATTAACTTTTCTATAATGAAATGCTCTTTAAGTTGCCAATCACTTCCCAGCAACCCTTTTCCTTTGTCAAACGGGAACCATATGTTAATTCTGCTTCTCATCTCTTTAATTTGTAGATTGCTAGTTTTCCTGTTCCAGATAAGCATTGAACCGTGACTAGATGTATTTATTCCAGGGGTCAGGAGGGGTTTGTCCTGACCTGGGAACGCTGCCGGCTCTGGGTTGTGACTCTTCTGCTTTCCCTTCAAATTCCTTTGCAGCAGTTTTACTGCAAAGTGTCTCGGAAATCACCCTGAGGTCTTGTTGCCAAATACCTTCTTAGGGGGTTGCATGGCTGAGCGAGCACACACTTCCCTGGTGGCACTCCTCTGTTCCAGGCATTTGTGTCTTTCCACAGATGTAGGCAAGGCAATTGTATATTGTTATCTGTAAAAATATGGCATTAACTGTAGATTCTGTGGCTGTCCGGTGTCTTTTATTTATATTCTGGCTTTCTCTCTGATGATCAAATACTTCACGATTACAAATAAATTTGTCAGCTAAACTTGAAATAGTCTTCTGCTAAATACACATCAAAAGCATCAATGCAGGTAAACGCAACACCTGAAACTGAAAGTGAAAGCCCTCAAACTCGGTGCCATGATTCAATAAAGGGTTGACATACACTCTATATCCCTCTTCCCTTTTTATAGAGGAACAATCCCACTTTGGAAAAACGCCTTGATAAACTGAAACAAAAAATGACTGTTTTGAAGGCTGGAAGTCTTTGGGAGATCCAAACATATTTACTGCTCTGTGCATGCACAGGCTTTGATCGCAGTCAAGCTGGTTTTGATGGGTGATGGTTATTCTTCAGCATTCATTGTGAAGGTATAAGCAGAAATCTGTGCTGATAAAGCAATGGCAAATAGCAGAGGGTGATGTTGCCTGTCTGTGAGCAGCAAGTTGTGCACATGAAACACTGCAGGTCAGATATGGAATACTTCAAAATCAGAAAGAAAAGAAGAATCCCCTCAGGGAGTAAGCTTGGTTGAACACACACATCCCTTGTGTGTTTGCATGCGTAAGAGGCTCATGTGTGCGAACACATCTTCATATCCAGTGTCTGTGGCCACGCTCCCGAGAGCCAAATGAAGCACTTTGCTGGAGGCTCTGATTTAGGAATCCGATGGGGGACACTGTAAAGGGCTTTGAGGGCTTTGATGCTCTCACTCCCCTGGGAAGTTGGGGGATATTTGTTCCAGGGTCTTCCTTGCACTGAGCATCTTTGAGAGTGTGTGAGTTAGAGAGCAGCAGCACACCTGAGCAGAGGACAGCTCTGCGCTTGGGGTGCAGGTGCCCCTGGGTCCAGCCCCATCAGTGATGCTCTGGGACACGCTGCCCTCCACTTTGCAGGGATCCTAGGACAGAGCAATGCAAAATGCTCTCTTGCAGCACTCTGTAAGCATCCTTAGAGCTTTCCCCCCTCCTGTTACAAGTTGCACCTGAGGAGAAGGAACACCTCCGGGTCCTGCTCTCAGTGAGCTATAAAGAGCCTGCCCAAGGCAATACAGGTACATGCATGCTGCTTAGGGCTGTAACAGTCACTCAGCAGAGAAACACACTCCTTATTCAGGCGACGCAGCCCAAGAGCTACAGCAGGGAAAGGAGAAACCCCACTGTGTGACACCATGGGGCTGCTGGTGTAAACCCCCCAGCAGCAGGGACCTGGGGGCGGTACTTGCACATCTGCTTGTGTCCCTGCTCCTGGGGGAGTTTCCAGATGGGTGAAGCTGCGTCTCCTGCAGCCAAGCACAGATCTGCCTCAGTCGGGTCTGAGCCCTGAGCTGGAGCTGCTTTTTAGTCCTTCTCCGGAACGGGGTAATAGAGACAACTGTTGCTGCCAGCCCATAGGTACACTGCGGGGACATTCCTCATTGAAATGTATGGAGTAATTAGCAAATGATGGGATTTTTAAAAGCGCATCACGGAACTTCACCCAAAGAGAAAACAAGAGTTTGTGTTTTTCACTCTCCTGCCCTATGAGCCAGAAACACCTTTACCAAATCGGTGTGTTTTGCATCACAGGCTTTCGGCAGTTGAAGTATAAATAATATTTTACTAGGAAAAAAGCAAAAACTACTCTAAAAGATTCTGATTTCCTGAAAAAAGACCGAAGTAAGGACAGACAGACGGGACCGTCGGGGATTTTAGGATAACGCCGCCCAGAAAGCGTGCTAATTGAACATGTGTTTTAAACCCCTTTGTTTCACCATTGCCCTCCCCGCAAATAACCGGCGCTGTTGTTCCTCTCACCCTGGCAATTCCCAGCGGATGGCTGGATTTAAGAAAGGAAGAAATGCAAATTCCCCCTCCCTCCCCTTGCCTTTGTGCTCCGCTCTCAAAGGCAGAGCGGGTGGAAAGTTGCCGGCGCTTGTGCTCGTCTGAGCACAGCGAAGAGCTCCCTGAATGTCCTGATATAAAATTCAGGGATTGCATTTCAGCCTCTCCTTTCAGGGCTGAGGCTCGGGGATTCCATTAATATAAATGCTTTCTTCCCGTTAAAAAGAAAACCAATTTGAAAGAAGCAAATAAACCCAACGCTATCCAATTGAGTGACAGCTTGTAAAACCCAGGCAGAATTAGGAAGAGGGGTTTTGCATTGCTCAGTTTGCAGGTGAGCTTTATAACCCCTGCTGATTTGTATGAGTGCTTGGCATGGGAGGCAGGAAATCTTTTGTGCTCTCAACGAGGAGAATTTAATGTATGAATCTTTTTCCCTCAACAGCATATTCCTCTTTTAGAAGCAGTCGTGCCTAAACGCGCGCTCCCTATGGATGCAGGAGATGATTAGATTTTGTGTCAAACAGTGGATGTCAACTTATTTCTTTCTTATTCTGATTTCTTCTATGAGGCCAATGAAACCAAGCCCCTCATGTAGGAGGGACAGACACCGCGTCCTGTTCCACAGCTCCTGCGGTTCCCTTTGGGGACATGGGCCAGAGGAAACCCCTCTCCCACGGGGAGCAGGGATAGTGGCTGGGGCTGGATCGTCCTCTGCGTCCCCTCCAGTGGCTTCTCCCACGTGTATCAGAGCATCCAAGCAAAGCTGTTCTCACCTGGGCTCCCCCTGCCCGCACCAAGGTCCCTGGGAACAAGGCAGGAAATGCAGAGCTGCACTCCTTACACACTAAAATAACATTTAAAAGCAGCAAATGACTTTGTTAAAGCCTGACAAGGAAACCAAGGTGGCAAAAATGCCCCAGGGAAAAAAAAGCAAAGGTGTTTAAATTAGGGGTTTTTTTTCTCCTTTCCAACACCTCCATCCTGTGTCAAGGTAGGGATGTGTTTTGCACTAACCACACGTACAGGTGTGTTTGCTGGCACACGGGTGTAGGGGATAGGGAAGAGGGCACAGGCAAACCCTTGATATAGAATGCAAAAGCACTGCTTTTGTGCTCAGCATTTTGCACTCTGGAGATGAAACATAATTTAATAGACAAATAGACAAGACTTCTAGGTTTAAACAAACTTGTCCATGTTAGAACAGTTTCTGCCCATTATTTCTCTTGCAGGATACACACATATATGTGTTTGTGAGAGCAGGCTGTCAGGAAGGTGTGTGTGCTGCCTACAGAAACCACAGACTGTGATCCCCTGACAGAAGATGCTATTTATCTCATCTTTTCTGGTTTATAAGCAATAAAACTGCACATTTGCTACCAAGATCTTTTGTCTTCCTTCCACTTTGAATGAAGGCTCAGGTAATTTCTAACAAATGAATAAAGGAGCCCTGGTGTACCCCAGAGCTCTGGCACCAAGCAGCTCACAGTGGGGCCATCTCACCCTTGATGCTGTTTTGGGGCTCTGGGACCACCGATGTTCCACAGGGATAAGTGTCCAAATGAAGGGGACCTGTGTCCCTTCCCCTTCTTCTGACAGATGTGCTGTGTGTGAAGATCCTTGCTCCGAATCCAAGGAAAACACAGAGGGATGCTAACAACTAGCTCAGTCCTGCTCACCAGAGATGGCTTTGACACTTAGAGATGTCCCGGACCCTCCTCCTGCGGTGCTGGCTGCAGGGTGAAGGAGAGATCCCAGAGACGGGGACTCAGCCAATATTCCAGCAAAGGCGCTGGTGTTTAAGGGGCAGATTGGGTCACCAGCAGCGCACAGGTCACACAAAACCAAACTCCACCTTGGTTTAGCTCTCTGCTCATTTGTCCACTGCAGTGTCTCCATCACTCTGGGCAGGGCAGAGCCACTCGCTGCCACTATCTCCTGGACACACACCCGCATCCCGCTCCCAGCCGGTCACTGGCCTCTTCCAGCTCCTATGCCGGAGCCTGTAAAAAGTCTCGGAGTCAGCTGGAGGCGAGTAAATCATTCCTGACAGCTACATCTCTACAGGGCAGTTAGAATTAATGTAACAATTTGGCGTTTAATGAAGCAACAACACGCTGGGCTGCCGAGAGCAGCCGGGACCTGCTGCAGTCACATTATAATCCCTGAGGGACCCAAACGGCAGAGACTTCATCAGATGCTGACTTGTTAGGCAGCAAACGGCCGTGCGGGAGGGAAGCGGCGCGCAGGCAGCAGCGTGGCCAGCTGAGCGCGGCCCCAGGGACCAACCTGCGGCTCCGAGCCCAGGCCCCCGTGTCCCGAGGCTGCGGCGATGGGCACGGCTCTGAGCAGAAGGAGAAGCCCAGGGGACGCGAGGGCACATTGGAAGCAGAAGGGGACGAGGGGAGCTGCGTGCTGGGGGCTGTGGGGAGCGCTGGTCCTGCGGCAGGTCGCAGGGAGGCTGGATCAATGATGTTTGTGTGAAAAACGTCTTCTTGGTGGACGAGCAGAAAAATAAATCAGTGCTGGAAGCACCGGGCAGGGGGGAACTGGGAGAACAACACGTTCTGTAAATGGAAACCAGCTCCATGAAGTGCTCTGCACCCAGAAGTGTCTGGTTCCCACAGAAGTTAAAGGTCTTTCGGCCATCTCCAGGATCAGGCCTTTTAGAAACCCTCACTGCGTGAAGGAGGGAGGGAGGGGAATGAATGCAAATGACTTCGGAGACAATCTCCTGTTTGCCGTGTACATACATATGCACTCCAA